AATTAGTCAAAATTACGGTTTTTATAATTTTTTTAAGGTAGAGTATGAAACAAACATACAAATCTGTTTAAGCCAATTTGTAGAGGGACATATAAATCATGTTTCCCAAAAATATTTGCCTCCGTAACTAAAAATTTAATGTGCAGGGAATTTTTGGAGCCTTTAACACTTTCCGTGCGACGGGTCCACACCCGTGGACCCGCAAAAATAGTGCCTTCCGTGCGGCGGGTCCACACAGGTGGACGCGTCGCAAATTTTCCCCGTAGTGCCAAGGGCCTAACCGAGTATTCTATTAGGTTTTAGAGCAAAAAATATTTTTTCGAGAAAAAAAACCCTCCGCCTATGGGTAGATGCTCTTAAAAAGGGCCCCGCACGGAAAGTGTTTTAAAAATAAAAAACCAATAAAGAGTGTTTACTACTAAGAAAAGTTATGTTTAAAAGGAGGTAATTAGTTACTTCAGGACCTCAAACAGTCTTTTGTTTAAATAAAAGATAGAGGGAAATAACATTCTTATTAGTTGCAAAGGATAGAGCAGTTATTGGATGATATGCTAATATAGATACTTGGAGCAAAAACCTCCATATTTTCACTGTAGCCTCCCCTTAAGACTCGCTGCAGCACCCGGGGTTGAACTTACGTGATTTCGCTGCCACCATTGTCCTTTGGTGGGCGCCAGGACAGGGTCACGCTCTGGGCGGTGATCTCCTCGTACTCTAGCGGGCCATCCGGAGGTCCGGGGCGATCTGCAGGCAACAAGGAGCACAGTCAGAACCACCACCTTGAGTTAAGGCTGGGGCAGCCGCCACCTCACCCTTACTCACCGAGCACGACCACCTGGAAGGAGCCCTCGTCGATGCCCGAGCTGTTCCTCAGCAGCAGGTGGTACAAGCCGCTGTCGCTGCGCTTGGCGTTCACCGTGTTGACGATGGTGTGGTAGCCGATGGACGTGATGGTGGTGCGCGCGTCCGTCTGCAGCTCCTTGCCGGCGACGGACCACACCACCTCGGGCGCGGGCTCGCCGATGAAGTCGATGTCCACGTGCAGAATGGTGCCCGCCTTGATGCGGATGTCGTGCAGTGGTGTCTTGATCTTTGGCGCCACTGGGGAGGGAACGAGACGCGCGTGGTTACGACAAGTGTCTCCCGCCGGGGGCTGGGGCCGCGCGACCACCCCACTGTATACTCACGATAGCGGTCCTTGGCGGTGACGACGTCCGAGGGCTCGCTGGGCTCGGACTGGCCAGCCACGTTGGTGGCGATGATGCGGAACTCGTAGTCCTGGCCCTCGGTCAGGTCCGGCACGGTGGCCGACGTCTGCTTGGCCGGCACGTGCACCGCGTTCACCCAGTACGGGCTGCCCTTCTCGCGGCGCTGCACGATGTAGCCCGTGATGGGCGAGCCGCCGTCCGACTTGGGCTTCTCCCAGGACAGGTCCACGTGGTCCTTGGCCCAGTCGGTGATGCTGGGCTTGCCGGGCGCACCAGGCTCATCTGTGGGGTCAAACACGGAAGTATGAGAACACCTTATATCTTTCTTTCTGTCGCAGATTAGTCCTGGTGAGGTAGTCCACTGGATCGTTGCACTGACCGACTTCGTTCTTGGCCACGATGGGCTTGGTGGTCTCGAGAGGCTCGGACTCGCCAATGATGTTGACGGCGCGCACCCGGAACAGGTACTCCTTCATGTGGATGAGGCGCAGCACCTCGTGCTGCAGGCCGGTGGCGATGCCCGCGTCCGACCATGTGCCGCGAGACATGTCCATCTTCTCCACCAAGTAGTGGAGGATCGGCGAGCCGCCGTCGTCTTTAGGGTGCTTCCACGACAGGCGGCAGCTGTCCTTGGTGACCTTGCTGACCTCGAGCGGGGGCAGAGGTGGACCAGGTTTATCTGAAAAGCGCAAAGAAGTTAAAAGACCTCTCCATAAATCAACAACAACAACATTTTCCGATTTCTCACACTGCAATCGCATCGCAACGAAGAACTCACCGAGCACCGTGACGTACGCAGATGCCGAGCACTCGCCCAACTCGTTCTTGAGGGTGAGCTTGTACCGGCCGGTGTCGCTGCGCGCCGCGAACGGAATCTCGAACGTGGTCTGCGTGTTGGTGGTCATCATGTCCGCTCGCGTGCCCACAGGCTTGTCGTCCACGGTCCAGGTGGCCTTGGGGCGTGGCGACGCCTCGACGGGCACCTCGAAGCTGATGCGCTCGCCGGCCTTCACGACGAGGTCCTGGAGGAAGGCGCGGTCGATGGTCGGTGCCATGAACCTCGGCTTGGCGATCACAGACTTGGACGCGTCGCTAGGCTCGCCCGGACCGCCCTTGTTGACGGCGATGACGCGGAACTCGTACTCCTCGCCCTCGATCAGGTGGGGCACCGTGGCCTTGGTGCTGCCGGCGGGAACCTCCGCGGCCTTCTCCCACGAGCTGCAGACACAGAGAGAGGGGTGGTCATGAGCAATCAGCAGGGATCAGTGTTGTCCGTGTAGCTAAGGCACAAGTACTCACCCAAACTTGGGCCTCTTCTCGATGATGTACCCGGTGATCGGGGAACCACCATCCCTCTTGGGTGGGGTCCATTCCAGGTCGACGTGATCTTTGTCCCAGTCTACAAGAGAAGAGTTGAAGGGTGAGAGAAAGTGGAAAAAAGGTTGGAGACGCGACCGGACTTTGCGCAGACACTTACCGACAACCTCGGGCGTTCCCGGCTTTTCCGGTTTGCCGAAGGGGTCCTTGGCCGTGATGGGCTCGGTGCTCATGAGCGGGCCGGACTCGCCCTGCCGGTTCACTGCGCGCACCCTGAACATGTAGTTGTGGTTCTCGATCAGGTGGTCCGCCTTGATCTGAGTCGTGGGTGTCTCGCCCACCGGCACCCAGCGCAGGTTTTCCGAGTCCATCTTCTCCACGATGTAGTGAAGGATCTCGGAGCCACCGTCGTCCCTGGGTGCACGCCAGGACAGCACCATGCTGTTCTTGGTCACGTCGCTGTCCTTGAGCGGGCCCTCTGGTGGCGTGGGCACGTCCAGGACCGTCACGTAGACGGTGGCCGTGTCCTTGCCGTTGATGTTCTTGGCCACGAGCTTGTACTCGCCGCTGTCAGCTCGGCGGGCGTCAGTGATGCGCAGACGAGTGTTGTAGTCCTCGTTGGTGATCTTGACGCGCTCGCCGGGCAGCACCATGTTGTCCCTCAGGCTCCATTCCTTGCTCGCTGGCGGCTCACCGTCGACGTGCACGTCGAAGTCGAAGTTGTGGCCGGCGCGAACCTTGAGGTCCAGCATGGCACTGCGGTCGATCTTGGGCGGCACTGTGAGAAGGACAGAGCAGAGCGTCAGCACAAAGACAACACTCAATTGTGTATATGTCTATTAGAGATCGCCTAGAGAGTCCATCGGTTTTTCTTAGATTTATTCAGCAAACGACGGGAGCTCAGCGCCTGCGAAACTCGGGGTAGGCCAGCCCGCAGTGCACGTATGCACTGCGGGCAAGTGTGTTGCCTACCTATCAGGCGCTAAGAGAGCTTGCGTTGCGTAGGCAAGCTAAACTTTGTGTAGCAGCGATTTTCGGATTCGGATGTACTTTCTGGTTTATATCTTCGCTTAGAACCTACATCTCGCGTTCAAAGTTTCAACTCACCGTTCTTGGCGCGCGCGACGTGGGTCTTGGACGCGTCGCTGGGCTCGCCAGGGCCGGCCTTGTTCACCGCCCTGATGCGGAACTCGTAGGGTGTGCCCTCGATCAGCCCGGGCACCTTGCCCTTGCACACGTCGCCCTCGACCTCGGCGCATTTCTCCCAGTTCGGGCTGCAATACACGTGAGTCATTGTTAGTCTACAGAACAGGGAAAATTGTCAAGGGTAGAAAGGGGAGAGGGGGAACTCACCTGAACTTGTCCTTCTTCTCGATGATGTAACCAGTGATTGGTGAGCCACCGTCGCTCCTGGGACGATCCCATTCAAGATCGACAAAGTCCTTGTCGAAGTCTGTGATCTCGGGTGTGCCAGGCTTGTCGGGCTCGTCGAAGGGGTTCTTGGCCTCGATAGCCTGCTCCGTAGTGAGGGGCTCGGACCTGCCCAGCTTGTTCTCGGCGCGGACCCTGAACTTGTACTTGTGTCCAGGGATGAGGCCGTCGACCTTGAGCTGAGTGTCAGGCCCAATGGTCTCTCCGGCGGGCACCCACCTGCCGGTGGCCTCGTCCATCTTCTCCACGACGTACTTTTCAATGGGGTTGCCGCCGTCATCAGCGGGTGCGTTCCACTTGAGCGTGACGCCGTCGGCCCTCACGTCCGAGACCTTGAGCGGGCCCTCGGGCGGGCTCGGCTTGTCCAAGACGATGACGTCGACCTCGGCGATGTCCTTGCCGTTTATGTTCTCGGCCGTGATGATGAAGGTGCCCGAGTCGGCGCGAGTGGCACCGCGCACGCTCAGCTTGGTGTTGTAGTCCGAGTGCGTGACCTTGACGTTGTCGCTGGAGCGCACCTCCTTGGCGCGCAGCAGCCAGCGGGTGTCGGGCATCGGCTCACCAGACACCTTCACGTCGAACACGAAGTTCTGTCCGGCACGGATGCGCATGTCGATCAGGTTGGTGCGGTCGATTTTGGGGGCCAGGTTGCGTGGCTTGGCGATGATGGTCGGCGTCGGGTCGCTGGGTTCGCCAGGGCCGGCCTTGTTGACGGCGCGCACGCGGAACTCGTACTTCTGGCCCTCGACCAGGTCCGGCACGGTGGCCGTCAGCTCGTCCGCGGGAACCTCGACCGCCTTCTCCCACTGGCCGTACTTGTCCTTCTTCTCGATGATGTAGCCCGTGACCGGGGAGCCACCGTCGTTGACCGGCGGGGTCCACTTGAGGTCCACGTGGTCCTTGTCCCAGTCGGTCGCCTTGAGGTTGCCAGGTGCGCCGGGCTCGTCGAAGGGGTTCTTGGCCACGATCGTCTCCTCGGCGACCAGAGGCTCACCCTCGCCCTCGGCATTCACGGCCGACACGCGGAACTTGTACTCCTTGCCCGGAGTCAGACCAGTGACGTCCATGTCTATGTAAACAAGTAAACCGAGAATAAGGAATATTGTCCAAAGCGTTAACACCAAAGAGTCTGCGACAGCGACAAATGACAATAATACTTACGAGGCTCCGTCACGCGGCCGCAGGGCACCCAGCAGCCGGTATCCGGGTCCATCTTGTCCACCTGGTAGTACTCGAGCGGAGTGCCACCGTCGTCCAGCGGGCGCTTCCACTTGAGCTTGCAGCCCTCGTTGTACACGTCCGAGATCTCGAGCGGACCCTCGGGCGCCGACGGCTTGTCGGTGACCACCACGTTGATGGCGACCATGTCCTTGCCGGACGAGTTGGTGGCCGTGACGGTGAACTCGCCCGAGTCCTCGCGGCGCGCGGGCCGGATCACCAGCTTGGTGTTGTAGTCCGTGTTGTCGATCGTCACCCGCTTGCTGTTCTTGAGCGGGTTGGACGCGCAGCGCCAGTCGATGTGTGGTGGCGGCTCGCCGATGACGTTCGCGTCGAACTTGAGCGTGGACCCGGCCGAGATGGTGATGTCGCGCAGGTTGCGGCGGTCGATCTTAGGCGCCACTGTTGAACAGATAGAGGTGAGTTGTGGTTGTGATTGTTTTTGAAAGTGGTTACTGTATAAGGTAGCGCAAAGTTAAAACATGCAGATACTCACGGAACCGGGGCTTGGCGGTGAAGGTCTTGCTGGCATCGCTGGGAGCTCCAGGGCCAGCCTTGTTGACAGCGATGACTCTGAACTGGTACTCGTTGCCCTCGATGAGGCCTGTGACGGTGCCCTTGCATTCGGGTGTGCTGGTCTCCAGCGCCTTCTCCCACATGGCGGTGTACTTGTCCTTCTTCTCGATGATGTAGCCCGTGATCGGAGTGCCACCATCGGAGATGGGCTCCTTCCACACGAGGTCCACGTGGTGCTGGTCCCAGTCCTCGGGCTCCGGCGTGCCGGGGGCCTGAGGAGTGGCTGTGGAAGGAAATGACGTTCGTTAGCTGGTCCGTTGACGACGAGCTCTCGCCCGCGGCGCCGCTGATGAGCCCTGCACTTACAGAAGGGGTCCTTGGCGACGATGGAAGTGTACGTCTCCAGGGGCTCCGACTCGCCCTCCTTGTTGAGGGCCTTGACACGGAACTTGTACTCGTGTCCAGGCGTGAGACCGTCGACCACCATCTCGGGATCCTTGGACTTGCCCACGGGGATCCAGGCACCGTTCTCCGGGTCGAACTTCTCGACCAGGTAGCCGTCGAGCGGCTCGCCGCCGTCGTCCTTGGGCCGCTTCCACTTGAGCTTGCAGCCCTCCTTGTGGATGTCCGACACCTCGAGCGGGCCCTCTGGCTTGCTGGGTTTGGCTGCAGGGAGAAAAGTGCTTAGTAAAGTTACAAACCGGACGCAGTGACGTCAGAGACTCGGGTGTCGCCAGATACTTACACACAACGGTGACTTCCACCTCGGCGGAGTCCGTGCCGTACTTGTTGGTGGCGGTGATCTTGTAGATGCCGCTGTCCTTGCGCTCGGGCTTGTCGTACACGAGCTTGCTGTTGTTCGGCACGTTGACGATCTTGCGCACGGCGTTCTCGTTGACGCGCTTGGTGCCGAAGTTCCACTCGACGTCGGGAGCCGGCTCGCCCGTGATCTTGACGTCGAACACGAAAGGCTCGCCCTCGCGGACCGTGATGTCGCGCAGGTTCTTGCGGTCGATCCTGGGCGGCACCTTGCGCGGCTTGCACGTGATGGACTTGGAGGCGTCGCTGGCCTCGCCAGGCCCGGCCGCGTTGATGGCGCGCACCCTGAACTCGTAGGGCGTGCCCTCGTCCAGGTTCTCCACCTTGCCCTTACACTCGGGCCCGCGCGTCTCGCCGGCCTTCACCCACCGAGGGGAGCCCTTCTCGCGCTTCTCGATCACGTAGCCGGTAATGGGAGACCCGCCGTCCTTGGCAGGCGGGGTCCATTTCAGCTCCACAAAGTCGCGGTCCCAGTCCGTGGCCTCCGGTGCCCCCGGAGCGCCAGGCTCGTCTGCGAGGACAAAGAAGGGACATTGAACAAGGCACCCAAAAATGGACTACCACCACCTACACTGACACCTTAGGTGGCCACCGGTGAACCACTGACAAGTATTGAACAAACAAGTAAGCAAGTGTTCAATAAATTAAGGCCATGGCGCATCAAGAGTTGGATTCAAATTTTAAACACTAGTTTAAAACCCGCGTGTTGGACAGTTACACTTTACACCCCATGGAAATACATTGGCTTACTTCCGCAATAAACAGCAATCGCAAGAGTAAAGCGCCTTCTTAAACACTTGCATATGTGTTTCCAAAGCCGAACACTTGATAGATCTGAGTGAATGACACTTGACCACAATTGTGACACGTACCGAATGGATTCTTGGCGACGATGGCTTCTTCGGCATCGAGAGGCTCCGACTCGCCCTCGGCGTTGACGGCCATGACGCGGAACTTGTACTCCTGGCCGGGCACCAAGTTGTTGAGCTCGATGAAGGGCTCCTTGGCTCGACCGGCCGACATCCAGCGTCCAGACTCGGTGTCCATCTTCTCCACGGCGTAGTAGTCGATGGGCACGCCGCCGTCGTCGAGCGGCGGGTTCCACTTGAGCTTGCACCCCTCCTTGTGGATGTCGGAGATCTTGAGCGGGCCCTCGGGCTTGCCGGGCTTGTCGATGACGGTGATCTCGATCGTCACCTCGTCCTTGCCCGACGAGTTCTCCGCCTTGATGGTGTACAGGCCAGTGTGCTTCCGCGCCACGGCCGTCACCACCAGCCGGGTCTTGTAGTCCTCGTGCTCGATCTAGACAGCAAGAGGATAGGTCATAAAAGGTCTCGATGATATCAAAACGCACTTTACACACTATCAAAGTGCTGACACCGCTGCTGGTGACGTGGCACTCACCGTGAGCTCGTCCTTGGACTCGATGCGAGCCTTGTTGTGGAACCAGGTCTTGGTTGGTGGCGGCTCGCCCGAGATCTTGACGTCGAAGCGGAGGTGTTGGCCCGCCTTGACGTTCATGTCCTTGAGCGTGGTGCGGTCGATCTTTGGTGGCACTGTGGGGGCAGACGAGGTGCGCGTCGGATCACAACACTTCCCGGAGGCTTTTCGCAGCTTTATCCCGTTCTTAATGTCTCATGTGCCACTTACCGTTGCGGTCCTTGGCGGTGATGGTCTCGCTAGCCTCGCTGGGCTTGCTCTGGCCGGCCTTGTTGACCGCGCGGATCCTGAACTGGTACTTGCCGCCCTCCAGGAGGTCGGGCACCGTGGCCTCGTGCTTGTTGCCGGGCACCTCGACCGCCTTCACCCACTTGGAGCTGTTAGCGTCCTTCTTCTCCACGATGTAGCCCGTGATGGGGGAGCCTCCGTCGTTCTTAGGCGCCGTCCACCGCAGGTCCGCGTGGTTCTTGCTCCAGTCCTTGACATCCGGCTTGCCTGGCCTGTCCGGCTCGTCTGTACAAACACGAAGTTAGTGGCCGCAGTTCCCACCCTACTCCTCCAAACTGAAATATATTTACATTTTGAAAAACTGTTGTTTTGCCAACAAACTTACTGTAAGGGTTCTTGGCCGTGACGGGGATGTCCGTCTCCAAGGGCTCAGATTCACCCTCTGAGTTCACGGCCTTGACGCGGAACAGGTAATCCTTGCCCTCGTTGAGCCCGGTCACCTGGAGGACAAAGACGATTAGTGAGACCAGCTCTTGTGGCGAACGGTGTCGGATTCACAGCGCAGCGCCACTTACGTCCGCCTCCGGCGTCTTGGTGGTGGTGACGGGAACCCATCGCCCAGTCTCGGTGTCCATGCGCTCCACGACGTAGTGGTCCACGGGCTCACCGCCGTCGTCCTCCGGCTTGTCCCACTTGAGGTGCACGCCCTCGGCCGTCACGTCGGACACGTCGAGCGGGCCCTTGGGCTTGGAAGGCTTGCTGAGCACCAGCACCTCCATGTCCACGGTGTCCTCGCCCGAGGTGTTCTTGGCCGTCACCGTGTACACGGCCGAGTCGGTACGCTTTGCCTTCGTCAAGATGAAGGTCGTCTTGTACTCCTCGTTCTCGATCTTGAGGCGCTCGTTGCTCGTGAGCGGCTGGCCTCCCTTGATCACCCATGTGATGGTTGGTGGCGGCTCGCCCTGAACGTCGGCCTCCACGCGCAGAAGCTGACCCACTCGGATTGTCTTCTTGAGCAGGTTCTTGCGATCGATTTTCGGCTTCACTGTTGGTAAAAACAGGGCGCGTTAGCTACCCCCAGAACTGGCCCCCCATTTTCATTTCAAAACCTTAGTTGAAATATTGTCTCTTTCTACTTACAGAAGCGTGGCTTGGCGATGACGGACTTGGATGCATCGCTCGGCTCGCTGGGGCCGGCCTTGTTGACGGCCACGACGCGGAACTCGTACTCGTGTCCCGGCTCGATGCCGTTCTCCACGCGTCCCTGGGTCTTGTTGCCCGGGACGGTGGCAGCGTCCACCCAGCCGCGGCCCTCCTTGTCGCGCATCTGGATGATGTACTTCTCGATGGGTGCGCCACCGTCGTCCTTGGGCGGAGTCCATTGCAGCTCCACGAAGTCCTTGTCCCAGTCCTTTGGCTCCGGACGGCCAGGCTTGCCAGGCTCGTCTGAAACAAGGATCGGCAGCGTGATGGATAGGGTTCTTGCTCGAAGGCGAAACCAAAGCAGCCAGTGAACTGTCATCTGCGCAACTCACCGAACGGATTCTTGGCAATGATGGACTTGTCCGTCTCCAGCTCGTCCGACTCGCCCTCCTTGTTGACGGCGCGGACGCGGAACTTGTACGGCTTGCCCTCTTGCAGCCCGGTGACGGTGGCCTCCGGCTCGGTGGCGCGGCCGCACGGCACCCAGTGGCCCGTCAGCGGGTCCAGCTTCTCGATCTCGTAGTACTCGACCGGGGTGCCGCCGTCGTCCTCGGGCTTCTCCCACTTGAGCTTGGCGGAGTTCTTAGTCACGTCCGACACCTCGAGCGGGCCCTTGGGCTTGCCGGGTTTGCCTAAAGGAGAGAGAGAGTGAAAGGGGGAAAAGATGCATTAAAACTGGGGGCGTCAGGCTGCTGCCGCTGTGCAGAGGCCTAGCGCCTGCGGGGGTAGGCAACATCCGTAGGCCGGGCGCACCGCTGCACCGCGGGCTGGCCTACCCTCGCCATCGCAGGCGCTCCCACTCACCGAGCACGGTTACTTCCAGCTCAGCCGTGTCCTCGCCGACCTCGTTCTTGGCGGTGATCTTGTACACGCCGCTGTGCGCGCGCTTCGTCTTGAGGATGCAGAACTTGGTGTTGTAGTCGATGTTGTCGATCAGGTACTGATCCTCGGTCTTGATCTCCTTCTCCTTGAACACCCAGGTGACGACGGGTGCCGGCTCGCCGGTGATCTTGATGTCCAGCGACAGCGTGTGGTTCACCTTGATCACCACTGGGTTCAGGTTGGTGCGGTCGATGTGCGGCTTCACTGCAAGGTAGGCAAAAAAGTGCAGGATTTGAGTACACTCGCTCGGCAGAAACGGCGTCTAAAATCGATAAACGAAAACGGTATACTCCACTTACAGAAACGAGCCTTGGCAGTGTGCGTCTTGGTCTCCTCGCTGGGCTCGCCAGGGCCGGCCTTGTTGACGGCCCTGACGCGGAACTGGTACTGGTTGCCCTCCTCCAGCTTGGGAACCGTGGCCTGGCACGTCGGCCCGTGCACCTCGGCGCACTTGACGAAGTTGGGGCTGTACTTGTCGCGCATCTCGACGACGTAGCCCGTGATGGGCGCGCCGCCGTCGCGCGCGGGCGGGGCCCACTCGAGCTTCACGGACGTCTCGTTCCAGTCCACAATCTCGGGCAGGCCCGGTGCGCCTGGGGCGTCGAAGGGGTCCTTGGCCAGGACGGCGAGGTCCGTCTCCAGCGGATCGGACTCGCCCTCGTCGTTGACGGCCTTGACGCGGAACTGGTACTTCTTGCCCGGCTCCAGCCCCTTCACCTCGTGCTCGGTCTTCTCCGGGTCGCAGAAGCCGGCGGGCGTCCACCTGCCGGTGGTCACGTCCATCTTCTCCAGCGTGTACCCCGTGAGCGGCAGGCCACCCAGGTCCTTGGGCTTCTCCCACTTGAGCTTGCAGCCCTCCTTGTGCACGTCCAGCACCTCCAGCGGACCCTCGGGCTTGCCGGGCTTGTCCAGGATCTCCACCTCGACGGTGGCCTCGTCGAAGCCGTTGGCGTTCTCAGCGCGCAGCGTGTAGGTGCCCGTGTCGGAGCGAGAAGTCTCGGTCAAAGCCAACTTGGTGTTGTAATCCTCGTTTTCAATCTTTACGCCAACACCGGTAAGCGGCTTGCCGTCCCGGGTCCAGGTGGTGATGGGAGCCGGCTCGCCCTTGACGTCCACGTCGAAGCGCACCGCCTGGCCCGCGCGCACGCGGACCTTCTGCAGCTTGTCGCGGTTGATCCAGGGTTTGACTGTAACCGTAAAAATCTGGGTAAGCACGGTGGCACGGAGGGGGGGGGGGAGAGGATCGGATGCTCCTGGTACTTACGGTTTCTAGCCTTGGCCACGATGGGCTTCGTGGGCTCGCTGGGCTCGCCAGGACCGGCCTTGTTCACGGCACGGACACGGAACTGGTAAGTCTGACCTTCCTTCAGGCCCGGCACCTTGGCGAAACGGTCGGGAGACTACAAAACGGAAGGGAAGAGCAGTTTGTGAGAAAACACAACTTGAAACAAGCTAACCGGTCCATACGACGGGTGCTTACATGAGTGGCCAGGACTTCGTCCCATCCCGCGCTGAACTTCTCCTTCTTTTCGATGATGTAGCCCGTGATGGCGGCGCCACCGTCCGACTTGGGCGCGTCCCACTTGAGGTCCACGTGGTCCACGTCCCAGTCCTCCAGCGACGGCGTGCCCGGCTTGCCAGGGGCGTCTAGGAAAAGAAATAGGAATCTGTCAGAGGGAGCGACCTGTAAAAGGCCAAACGGAAGCGCCGGCGTGGCGTCTCCTTACCGAAGGGGTTCTTGGCGGTGGTCGCCTTGTCCGTCTCCAGGGGCTCGGACTCGCCCTCCTCGTTGACGGCCTTGACCCTGAACTGGTAGTCGTGGCCCTCTTGGAGGCCCTTGACCTCAAACTCGGGCTCGTCTGTGCGACCCACCGGCACCCAGCGGCCCGTGGCCACGTCCAGCTTCTCCACCGTGTAGCCGGTGATGGGCTTGCCACCATCGTCCTCCGGCTTGTCCCACTTGAGCTTGGCCGAGTTCTTGGTGACGTCCGACACCTTGAGCGGACCCTTTGGTCTGGACGGCGCGGCTGGGGGGATCAAGGAAGGTGCATTAGCATCATGGAGATGCATGTAGAGAGCAGTAAAGAGAGAGAGAAGTGAGTACTTACAGAGCACGGTGATCTCCACCGTTTCCTCGTCCTTGCCGTGCTGGTTCTCGGCCACGATCTTGTACAGACCGGTGTTCTTACGGATGGAATCCTTGATGTTGAGCTTGGTGTTGTAGTCGACATTGATGATCTCGACGTTGTTCTCCGACTTGATCAGCTTGTCGCCCTGGTACCAGGTGATGGTTGGTGGCGGCTCGCCTCGCACGTTCACGTCGTAGTTGATGGGCTTGCCCGCGCGCACCACGATCGGCTTCAGGTTGGTCCTGTCGATCCTCGGCTTGAGGGCGCGGTGCTTGACGGTGTGCATCTTGGTGGCGTCCGAAGGCGGTGACTTGCCGGCCTTGTTGATGGCAATAACACGGAACTGGAACTCGGCGCGCTCCTTAAGGCCCTCCACCTTGGCCTCAAGCTTGTCGCCGGCCACCTCGACCGCGTCCTCCCAGTCGGGCTTGAAGCGGTCCTTCTTTTGCACGATGTACTTCTGGATGGGAGAGCCACCGTCGCTGTCGGGCTTGGCCCACTTGAGGTCCACGCTCTCGTTGTCGTAATCCACGATCTCGGGCGTGCCGGGCTTGGTCGGCTCGTCGAACGGGTTCTTGGCGATGATGGCCTTGTCGGTGAGCAGTGGCTCCGAGTCGCCCTCGGCGTTGGTGGCCGTCACGCGGAACTTGTACTCGTGGCCGGGTTCCAGCCCCGTCACCTCGAGCTCGGGCTTGTCCTTGTCACCCGGCACCTTGCCGACGCGCACCCACTTGCCCGTGGCCGTGTCCATCTTCTCCACCTCGTACTGGAGGATGGGGGAGCCGCCGTCGTCTTCTGGGGGCTCCCAGTGCAGCTTCAGGCCCTCCTTGTGCACGTTGGTGGCCTCGAGCGGACCCATAGGCGAGCCGGGTTTGCCTGCAAGAGACGATGACGCAATTACACAATTTGTCCCATTGTGCCCGCAACCTAGCACCGGATTTCTCATACTTACTGAGCACGGTGAGCTCGACTGTCTCCTGGTCCTTGCCCGAGGCGTTCTCCGCGATGAGCGTGTACTTTCCGGTGTCGCGCCGCGTCGCGTTTGTGATGCAGAAGTCGGTGTGGTAGTCGATGTTATCGATCTTGATGCGCTCCGTGTTGACGAGCGGGATGTTGTCACGCCACACCCAGGTGATGGTTGGTGGCGGCTCTCCGGTGATGTCCACGGACCACTTGTGCGTGCGGCCAGCCTTGATGGTCACGCTCTTGAGCATCGACCTCTCGATGCGAGGCTTGACTGCAAACAGGAAGAAGGCGCCCATCGTACAAACTCGCATACGGCAGGCTTGGTTATATTGGCTAATAGCTAATGGGACACTCACGGTTGCGGTGCTTGCACACGTGGTTGTCGGTGGCGTCGGAGGGCTCGCCGCCGCCCGACTTGTTGTGCGCGCGGACACGGAACTGGTACACCTGCTGCTCCTTGAGCCCTTCGACCACGCCCTCGCAGTTGTCGTTCTCCGTCTTGGCCACCTCGACCCAGTCGGTCGCGTGCTTGTCCTTCATCTCGATGGTGTAGTGGGTGATGGGGCGGCCGCCGTCGCTCTGGGGCTTGGCCCAGCGCAGAGTGACCGACTTGTTGTCCCAGTCGAAGATCTCGGGCTTGCCCGGCTTGCCGGGTTCGTCTGTGGATTGAGGCGACACAAGAAGACAATGAGCGATTGCGAGAGGATGACAGGGTCCCGCGGTCGTCTAAGTCTACGGAGGGGAGTACTGCGTGCGTGTGCCGCTGGAATAGGGAGTCGTGGGTGTCAACCCGTGCAATGGGGAGCGTGCGTCCGTGCGGGTGAGCATCTCCACTTACCGGACAAACGCTAAACGCATACATTGATCGACGGAAAAAGTAATTACGTACAGGTCTTTTTTTTTGTTTCAATAAGTAAAATTAAATAATGCGTGTAAGGAAGTATCAATTGCACAGTAATCGTTACAGCGACTAGACACTCACCGTATGGGTTCTTGGCCACGAAGCTGTCTGTGGTCTCGAGCGGCTCAGACTCGCCCTCTTTGTTGACGGCCTTGACGCGCAGCTTGTACTTCTTGCCCTTCGTCAGCCCTGTCACCTTGAACGAGTCGGCGTCCGGGCCGACCTCGCCCGCCGGCACCCAGCGCCCGGTGTCCAAGTCCATCTTCTCTATGACGTAGCCGGTGACGTCGCTGCCGCCGTTGTCCTCCGGCTTCTTCCACTTGACGGTGGCGTGCTGGGCGCGGATCTCGTCCACCTTGAGCGGCCCTCCAGGCGGCGTGGGCTTGTCCAGCACCACCACGTCGGCGACGCCCTCGACAGTGCCCGAGCTGTTCTTGAGCACGAGCTTGTACTTGCCGCTGTCGGCGCGCACTGCACGCCGCACCGTCAGCACCGTGTTGCGCTCGTACTTGTCGATCGTAATCCTGGAACAAACAGGGGTGCGCGTTAGACCGGCGCTCGCCTCCCGGACCTGCCGCCTGCCTGGCCTCCAGCTGGAGGACGTGCCTACCTCTCTTCCTTGTCCTCCTTGATTTCGGTGGTGTTGAGCAGCCAGCGCACCTCGGGCTCTGGCTCACCACCGTACTTGATGTCGTACTTGATGGTCTGGCCCTTCTTCACGACCAGATTGATCAGGTCGTTGCCAATGATGAACGGCTTGACTGAAAGTACAACAATGGCGAATAAGATTACGAATTTTAACGAGAAAGTGCGATGATGGGCCATGCCTCCAGAGACTGTGCAACTCACCAAATCTGCACTTGGCGATAATTGGCTTGGTAGCATCGCTTGGCTCGCCAGGGCCAGCCTTGTTGACGGCCCGGATACGGAACTCGTACTGAGTGCCCTCCTTGAGGCCGTCAATGGTTGCCGCGGTCACGTCACCAGCGATCTCTTTGCCTGTCGCCCAGTCTTTGCCGAACTTCTCCTTGTACTCGATGATGTACCCAGTGATTGGTGCGCCACCGTCGTTCAAAGGCTTATCCCACTTGAGGTCGGCGTGGTCCTTGTCCCAGTCCACGACCTCCACGTTGTTGGGCTTGCCCGGCTCGTCTGCGAAATGCACGAATATTTGAGAGCCGTGGCAGAAACACATAAACGGAAGTAGATTCAACCTGGATACATACCCCAGGGATCCTTGGCAAGGATAGGCTTGGCGAACGTGGCGGGCTCGGACGACCCGATTTTGTTGACAGCGCGAATCCTGAACTTGTATTCTCGCTTAGGAGTAAGGTCCTCGCACTTGAACACGGTGGGTGCGCCAGGTTTCACCTCGCCGACGTTGTCCCAGCCACCTTTCACACTTAGATCCTGTCGCTCCACGACGTATTTGACAAGCGGCGCGCCACCGTCATCCTTGCCGGGCTTCCATGCCACTATGCACGATGTTGCGAAGACCTCTGTCACGTCAACGTCCTCTGGCGGCGAAGGTACGTCTAACGGAAAAACACAAAAACAAAGAAAATGATAAAAACCGACTGGTTCCACTGTGAAAAAAAGTAGGTAGGTTTACAGGAAAATTTTCCTTGACGTAAAATTACAATTTGAAATCGTAAAAATACATGCAGTATGTATCGACTTCAAATCCCTTGGCGAGTAAAAAATGTGCTGTCGTAAATTTACAACTTAAATTATAATTCGAGTTTACAAAATTTTTGTAAATTTACGACAAAATTTTTCACAGTGTCCGACTGGTTTTCGCAGACACGAGGAAAGAGTAATCATATGCTTTATTACTCACCTTGCATGTTGATTTTAAGGTCCTTGGTAGCCTCGCCTTGACCGTTGCTTATCACAATTTTGTATGGCCCGGTCAGATCACGCGCCGGCTTCTTGACCTTAAATACGACCTTCTCATCCATGACGATGATCTCAACCTCTTTAAGCGGCAGGGCCTTTCCATCCTTCATTAGTTTAGCCTCTATGGGCGTCTGCCGTGTGCCCTCAACTGAAGAAACAAAACACACACAAATTAAATTAGTTTTGCCAAAAACACTTTTTCCTTGTTCTGAAAATAAGAACTCACTCTTGTAAGGAATGTCGAAAATGATCGGCTTATTGCATGGTCCCTCAATTTCATCAGGGAAGTCAGGGACGGGCTTGCCTTCTCCCTTCTTCACAAGGAGCTGGCACGACGAGCTTAGGTTACCGGATTCGCAGGTAATCTCTCCCTCGTCTGACATATCAACCTTGTTAAACACTAACTGGTGTTTACCTCCACCGAGATTCTTGATTTCAATCCTGAATGACAGATATGTGATTTAGTTAACACTGCTAACATTGGTCAAATCTGCTAAAATATACTAAAAATCCCACCTATCTGACGGAACGATAGGCTTGCCGTTGAACTTCCACTCGGCGGGTGCTGTTTGATCTTGAAGTTCAACATCAAGGACAACCTTTTCGCGCTCAATCCCGGTTGTGTCCTTGAGCTTCTTGTTGAAGCGGTTCATATCTACAAGAAAGATAATATTAATCTTACGAACTACCGAACTATAGCGGCACCTCTCTCTTGCATCGCCACTTACATTGGACTTGTATTTCCGCTTCCGTTTGGTCGGCATTCGTGGTACATTTGTACATACCACTGTCAGTAACTTTCGCGTCCTTAATGACCATTTTCCGCTTTCGGCCGTCGGCCGTAATGGTGATTCTGTGGAATAACATTCAAACGTGCAACAGACACATGCAATAGCAAAATTCTCTACTTTGACCGCTTACCAGCAAGGACATCACAGGACGTACTAAGAGAGCCAATACACGAGACACAAACCTTTTGTCTGGCTTGACTTCTTCGCCATTTTTGAACCATTGTACGTCCCCAGAGGGATCGTCAAGTTCACAAAGAAGAGTGATGGTGTCCTTCTCGGTGAGCTGCTGGTGTTTAAGAACCTTGACGAATTTGTACGGATATTCTGTAGGCAGCAGGCAGACGAATAAACACGGGAACAACAGGACACGAGGTAAAAGAGTAGAGACAAACGACATGCAACAAGGAAATCTCAGACAGTTTCTCCTAAGGTAACAATGCAACGGTGCAGGTATTTGGTCACTCGAATAAGGTCCATATGCATTTTCAAAAATAAAGAGAGAAGATTATGGCTACTAAGGGCAGGAGTAAAAATGATTAGCATTTCAGATGACAGGTTTAGAAGTCTGAAATATGGGAAGGACACAAAAAGAAGAACCAAGAAAATGAGTGAACCTATCTATCCAGCGGCACGGTTTGGAGGGTTTGACGGCTCACCAGATATTTTGACTTCCGTGATGGTTTTGTCATCCTGTTTTGTAATCTGGCAGACGTATTCTCCACTATCTTCGAGCACTGCCGATTTGATCACTAAGCGGCAATTTCCTTGCATGTCCTTGCTGATTTCATAAAGATCACCATCCTGTCAAGGCCAAAATAATAGTTAACCGAAGCTGAATTCAACTACGTTGCCTGCGGTTGTGCTGTGTAAAGTAAACTCTGTTAAAATAACGTCAAACATTGCGGTTTGTTCACTCCACAAAACAGTTCAGACTAAGAAAAAATAACCACGGTGGAGTAAGCGCGGGGCCCTGGAGGTCAGCTGGTAGAAAAAGGGAAGGTCTTACCTCTAGCTTTTTATCACCCTTTTTCCATATGACCTTTGCCATACTGTTGCTGACACCGCACTCTAGTATCACCTCGTGCTTAGTGTAACCTTCAATGGTCTTCATTAGTGGTTTAACGAAGGTATACGTTGGAGCCGGCTCTGAACAAATACATAACAAAAATTAGGACATTGGAGTAAAATAGTGTTTTAATCCGCATGTACATGTTAAGAGGACGCACCATCGACATTCAAAAATGCCATAGAACTAACACCAGCAAGTTCAATAGTGTATTTTCCAGCATCCTCCACTTTTGGATTCATAATTATAAGTTGATATGTATCATTCTCGGTCTTGAACTTATATTTGCTTCCGGGGAAGAGCTCCTGTTGTGTAAACCGTAAATATTTTTAGAGTGCCTTTCGGAGATAGTTGCATGTATAGCATCAGTGCAGTAAATGAAACCTACATCTTTACGTAAAAACCACTTTGGTTTACAATTCGGTTTCGAGAATATTGCCTCAAACATGACTTTCTTGTCTTTTCCTTCCTTGGCATATTGATCAACAAGTGGTTTCAGGAAGGACTCCGGTTTCTACAAAATTAAACACAAAGGTAGTTGTTTGCCCTCTGGATGAGTCATACAAGTAGTTGGCGTGTACTACGATAAACAACACTAAACAATTTCACATTTTATCAAATGTTAAAAACAACAAAAATGGGTGTGGAAAAACGCGTGGTAAAGGATTGGTCGGGCCGGACAATACAGAAGTGACACTGAAAAATAAAACAGAAAAAACTTTCAGAATAAAAATTATGAAAAGACAGATTACGAAGATGCCGGGTTCGACTACGTATTTCCCAGGACAAAAACCAAACAGGGAAAGAGACAGATTTTAAAAAATATGCCCCGAGCAACAAAAATGAAAAAAAAAAGTTTCCTATACCTCTGTAAACTCAAAAAATACAACAAAAAACTAGTTAAATTTTGGAGAAAGAAGGGTGCAAAAAACAAATACATTTTGCATGCAAGTTTTTACTGTACCGGGTGCTTTGAAACACGCAATTTTGTGGGCAGGTTTGCGTACTCACAGGGGCCACGATACCTTAGGCTAGGGAGAGGGCAAACCCGCCCTAGTCGATGCGTGCACAGAAACACCCCGTACTTTTCTCATCTGATTATTGTTTTGCATGATACAGTGGACTCTCTCTAACTGTTGCCTCGCGAACTGTCGTGTGCGAGAAAGAAAAATGGTGCGTTCCATGCGGACTGACTGCCGGCTACGGCGGCGTGCCCGACTAGCCCGACTGCCCGACTCGCCTGCTGGAGGAGTGCACGGTAAAAAGATTGTCTTCAAATCCGAGGAAATTCCTAGGAATTAAAGGTCGGGTGGATGATTTCAAGATTGGCCCTTGAAATCCCAGACACTGTCTCGAAACCCGCAACTTCCAAGGGAAAGCCTTGGAATATTCTTCTGGTATTCAAGGGTTTCCCTTGAAATATTCAGATCGTTCTTCAAGGAAACTCCTGCTTGAATACCAGAAGAAAACTCCAAGGCTTTCCCTTGAAAGTTGCGGGTTTCAAGACAGAGTCTGGGATTTCATGGGCCAATCTTGAAATCATTCACCCGACCTTGAAATCCAAAAAAAAAAAAAAAAAAAAAAAAAAAAAAAAAAAAAAAGCCTCAGATTTCAATACTTTTTTTTACCGTGTGGCGAGAGCGGAGCACGACAGCAGCGAACACAAAGGATCCTCACTACCTGTCGCGGCGAAAATTAGCGAGAGTCCACTGTACAGAAATAAATACTGACATGCACCTAATCAGAAAGTTCTCGACAAATGCCTTAGCTTATTGTGACTTGAACTGTAGAGTATAAACAATAAGAATGAAATAAATGTTAGAGGATGTGAAATCTTTAGTCTTCGAATGGTTTACAGAAGATACAACAAAGCCACAGAGGCATGCGTAGAATGTGAACCAATCCCAAAACTTTCGCAAAAAACTTTTCATTTTGCCGTCAAAATTCGTTATTTTTAACGCATACAAAAACTACTTTTCAACATATTTTGCCATTTTAGAGGCAAAACGACTGGGTGGAGGTTCACATGGTTCACAAATAAGCAGGGGTACGGAGAAAAATAGAGCTGGAAAGACATTCCGGACGCCCACTGTCAACCAACGAAATCAGAAGTCCTGGAGGAAAGAGCGAGAAGACTAACAAAGCACAAGTTTTGACAAAGACAAGAAATACGAAAAGTAAACAGAAGCATACAGGAATGAGACAGACAAAAGTGAAGAGAAGGAGACGTGCGACATTAGTAGTCCAACCTCCGTCTTCTGAAAGTGATGAAGTACTGGCCAATCGGGGATAAGCTCAGCAAGAGACTGCCTCCTTGACGCCACTTTTTCACTACTCTAAAAACAGATTACAAAACGTGTCAACAACCATGTAATGGGAAATGCACTTGTTCGTACCATGAAAAACTGCTTAATGCTTTGGTTGCGTATGCCAACACAACACATTACAGAGAAGCTTTTTTAAACACGATACTAAAATATACCAAATGTTACAATAGATGTTCGCAAAAAAGGCGAGTGCCATTTACTAATTCAAGAAAAGTAGGGTACTCCAAAAATGCACGGTAGCGAAAGGAGACAAATAAAAGTCAAAAATGAGCGGTATAGGAGAAGCTTCCGCAGCGTCTTGATTTCGTCATATATGAGAGACCAGCCAGACGATCAAACATCATGACGGTTTCTGAAATAGCGATGTGACTTTCATTTCTGACATCCGGTTTTGTTTTTAACCTTCCGGAAAAGCACGCTATTGGAGTACCCTATAATGGAGAAACGCTCAAACGAGCAGAAAACTCCCACATGAGAAATTGGTAGCAATTAAGAAATTAAAAGATGTATAGTCCGGTGACCTACAACAGATTTTTCATAGGTACACCACAAGCTTAACACGTTAGAGAGGCACTTAAGCAGCGATAAAAGCACTATGCGTTTCGGTTTAATACGTCTATTTATTTTAAATTTATTTCTATTATTTACTGATGTTTATTTTAAATATTAAGGCAAACCTTGAGCATATCTTTGTCCAAGATTTGAAGCGTAGGCCAATCAGTTATAACTTCTTGCAGGGAGGTTCGTCTTCTCTTTTCGAAAACATCCTATATATTACATAAAATACAGAATAAGTACGATGGAGAGGTAGCTAGTAATGTAAGTTAGCCTTTTGGTTAGAATTATTGCAAATAACGGATAAACTTTGATGGAAGAAAACTCTGCCCTGAGGCACACTATATCATTTTCAGGAAAACTAACGGTCACCATTTTTTTTTAACAAACGAACAATCGTATCGACGTTACCTACTTGTGACTCCAATCGGCGTAGTTCAAATATAACGTAGCAACCAACTACAAGAGGCTAGCGCAAAATTGTCGGGGACAAAGCACAAATTTAACTTGCTACAAGAAAGTAAGGTCAAAACAGAGCGTTTTATCTACGCTGTTACCCAATGGACTACGGGATAGTAATTCTTAAGAGGTTTTGAAGCAAATGATTTTTCTCAACTCTACGGGTAGACGAGAGAGAAAAGGCAAGGGAAGATGTTTAAGTTTGTCACTGCAGACCTCCGTTCGCCGTAGCTTTGGCCAATCAGGAACCTGGTCAGCAAGTACGAAGCGCCGGCGTGGTTGAATAGCTATCAAGTTGCATTCCCCCTGAGAGAAACAAATTCAGCATAGATATTTCCGCTTATTAAATGTGCGGGAGTTACGATTGAAAAGTGAATTATCCCTTTCGTTTCAATGTAAGAGAAGGAAGTGATTGGAAGAAAGTTTTATTCCATCAAATTGTGCTACTGAGATATAAAGCTGATCATATATGGGGAATATGGAGCATTTCTCGATCGAACTCTTAAATGACCAAATCTTTTTTTTATTTGAAAACAAAATGTTTGAGATATTGGCATTAAAGAGAATTTAAATAAAGAAATGCTACATATGTCTACCTTGACCCATCTCCAATGTGTGTCTCCTCGCTTGGTAGATGGCACTTTCGCTACCACTTTTCCCTCTACTTTGATCACTATGCCGCCTTCAGTATCATCTTCTATCCAACCTGATTCACTTTCACCCTGTAAGAGTAATTATTGACAATATACGGCAAATTAGCATGTGTGCATTATTTTAATGCATGTAAGTTTTTGGCATTATTGTTACTTGATGGTAAGTAGATAGTAAATTTTTGTTTGCACACTGAGCAAGGTTAAGCCTTCCACGCATGTTACAGGAAATTGCGGCACGCTATCAAACATGGTCAATCCGTGCAAATATCACAAATCACGAGATTGGTTTTCAATTGCTAGGATGACTAAACCTGATTCATGGCAGCTCAAACGACAGACACAGAAGAGGCAAAGGGAAAAACACTCTCTTGTAAAGAATGTATAAATTTAAAGAAAACATGTGTGCTTTGATTTGGCTAAGTGTGCACTGCAAACAAAGCGATCGCTGACAACATCGCCCGAAAGTGTATCATATGGCTGCCGAGGACAAACAGATTTTTTTAAAAAACAAACAAATATTAAACAAGTGTTACAATGACTGCATCGCCTGTAAGTAACATGTTATATATGCTAACACTATTAACACCGTCGAATGAGTTGACGAGGCGACAGCAGAAACCTAAAGAATAAGAAATGTAGGATTTTTATTAGAGCAGTTGTAAACTGGTGTCCTCACCTTCTCAACTTTCTTCAACGCAGGAACGGGTTTCTCAACCTCTTTGAGATCGCCCCAGTCCGGGTCTTCCTTGTCTTGTCCCCATTTGGCGTACTTTCGTTTTTTGAGCATAGCACGGAAATCCATGCCACTGGCATCTGTAACACGGCACAATGCGCATCAGCTTTCTGCTACACAGTGGGAAACTCTCCACCAGCCCGCAAACTTGATTAAATTGTGTTATTACACGTACCGGAAACATACAACTGCATCTCTGCGGTGTCCTCTCCATGGCAATTAGCCACGACTATCTTATACTTTCCTTCGTCGTTTGGCTTCGTCTTGCGCATACAGAGAGTGATCGTATTTGTGTTACCGTCGGTGAGGAATTTGAAGCGACCGCCTTCAATGATCTCGGTCATGCCCTGCATAGATTATGTTTGTCAGCGGGCATAGATATAGAGTCTACTGCAAGATGTCACTCAACCAGAACTTCAAAAAATAAAAAATGTAAGGCTATAGCGGAAAGCAACTTACCGTAATAGTGTCCGGCTATTTAGAGCGAAAAGCATGAAAGCAAGACAAACATAGCGACGAAAGCAAATTATTAATTGCAAAGAAATGAGCTTCAGTACTGAGTTTGCATTACGCAAAGCATTAAATCTGATTAGCTTGAAAGTATAAGTTATCACGAGAAAGTCGTTTTGAAAAGACATGGCACCTGGCACCTACCTTGTAGAATTTAAATGTAGGCGCAGGATTTCCTTCGACTTGCACGGTGATGTAGGCGACTTGATCTGCAAACCACACGGAATACATTATTTTTCCCAATGTGCCAAAGTGCGTATAAATGGGCGTTTCTAGAAGCAAGTTACGGACCTTCAACAGCAGAGTAACTTTCTTGCACATCAACAATGACAGGAGGACCTGGTTCACCAACAGCCTTTAGAGGTGTCGAGGGCTTGTTAATGAGCTCCTCCAAGTCGGCTACACTTGGTCTTCGCATGTCCGTGCTTGGACGTCGTCGCTGCAAGCCATCAGAATACAAGTTCAACACCACAGTTTAAGACGTTTACCCCATGTAAGACTCATAATTTGCGTAGTGCAATCGGCCATACGTGGGACAATGCTTCTTTGAAAAAGTAAAAATGAAGACAAAACAACTGTATTTAGTTACCTGATTTTATAAGATACACAGGAGAAAAGTAAATGAAAGCATTTTTTGTTTAACGAGAAAGCGATATTGAAAGAAAGATTGAACGGAGAGAAGAACGTCTACACAGAACAAGCAGTTTTCACACGCACATACAAGAAACGTTTATCACACATATCCACGTACAGAAACACAAACAGGTCAGAAAATAGGAAAGGTTCTACAGGTGGTACAGGAGAAAAGCGTGTTTGAATCCTGGTGATGATTTCTTACCAGCAAGGGAAAGGATACATAAAATCGTGCTGTATCGAACAAAGCTCACCTTAACCGACTTCATTATGCCGACCATGCAAGAATCACATCCAGTACAGACGGAGCCACGTCTATTAGGCTTTGTACATACGCGCAGTAGACAGAATAAGAAGAAGGGGTGCAGGGGTATTGGAGGAATAAGGGGTAAAGAACGTGTGTAACAGAGTCACGGAAAGGGGTGGGAGTTCTAGGGCCTACTACGGACCACGGTAAAAACACGTAAATTTATTTACAATTATCCCGCTTCTGTGACCAACACGCCTTATGCAGGCAGACTTGATGACGACATGAAGTTCCCTGAGCCTGAAAAATGTTTCATGCACATGTTACACTGGATGCATGTATCTCAAGTCATCACCTTCTTTCAGAATAAACGGAGGAAAAGACGCAATAAAATGAGTCACTGCACACTTCACAGGCTCTAAGCTCTGTTCCTCTAAAAGGGACATAAGCTACTGAGCTATCGCGCCAGCACTTGAGGCGAAAAAAAATAAAAGGTCAACCTCTGTACAAATTAATCACAGTTTTCTCTATTTATATTTACAAACCCTAAAAGCGACATACAATTTTTCGTCAAGCCTTATCATGAAAATCTCAAGACTACGTCTATGAGCCATTTTAGGATCCTGTCAAAAATATTTCGGTCCCATATGCTCTTAGAGTAGTTCTCTGACTTCCTATGACGCTGGAATGGTTTATACGGTGCACCGCACCATATACAACCACGCCACAATTTCCATAAGGCCACATACAAAAAAAAATCCAAAAGGTTTTGAATCTAACCTGTTTTGCGCCCTTTGCACCTTGCTCTTCACCCGGACGAGAGCCCCTTTTCTGGTTTCATCAAAAACAAAATAAGAAATCGTCGTCTATTATTTTATGTCTTGCTAACAGGGTAGGGAATGTGGAGTTTGGAGAGAAGTTGAAGCATTTTGTTTAAAAACCAAAAAGTTGAAAGCATAGGTATGTTTTGTAATTTGATTAAAGTTCCTGGTCTGTTCGTATACGGACAGCGGCACATCCATTTAAGTACACGCAGTGTTTCACAGTTAAGATTACCCGATCACCAAATATAACATTTGTTAAAATGTAACCGAAAAAAACTGTACATGTGATCAATTTACAGAGGCGTTAAAGTATCATATAAAATGACTTCTGATCACGACAAAAAATTTGCACACTGGAAACGCAAGTGTGTGAATGTCGCTCACCTGCAGGTGTGTGAATATCCATTTGCACACTTAGAGGGGTAAAGGTGTGAATTTTCCCCGAAAATTCAAAAGTTTACCCCCGTAAGTGTGCGAATGGATATTCACACACCTGCAGGTGAGCGACATTCACACACTAACGTTTTCAGTGCAGTATATTTCAATATTTGCCTGCGAAATGGGCATTTATTTTATCAATGTGACTTTCGACACAGTTACGCATTCCGGCTACATTTTAACTTATGTATGTCAGACTGTGGTCGTGCGAGTGAAGTTGAGTTGAGCAAAAAAGGTCCAGCGGCGTCATTGTTAATCCTGCGAAAAAGCCTGCAGGCAACTTTTGCACCCTGTGCCACAAACCTCACCTTAGCATCTAATACCTCACCAGGGCGCAATTTTCCAACCTGTAGAGAAATCAATGACAATGGTAGGAGCTCATTAATCTGTTCTACATTTGCTCCATGCGGATGTGGTACTTTTAGTTCTGGTTGAGGTAAGATGACTGAAATACTCCGGAACAATACAGCACTAATGGAATTGGGAAAGGGCAGTGAGGGGACGGATTGCTAGAGTTTATCAGAGAGGATAACGGGAACAAGACGCCACAAAACGACACTTGGACGAAACACGAGACAAACAACACCTGTAGAAATATAACAGACACGGGACAAAATTACCAGAAACGAGCCTTCTGAATCTATATAGAGAGTGTACTACATACGCAATTATTCGCCACTCTATTGTAGCATAATAGTACCTTTTCAAGGGAACGCTGACCGAAAGCACGGTAAAAATGATGTCTCATGTTTTGAGGAGAAAGGGAAAACTTTAAAGAAGTTCCATATTTGAGGAAAGCTCCTCCGAGGTCACCGCAAATTTTGAGGAATCTTCTCAACAAAAGAGGAAAAAAAACACATTTTTTGAGATTTCCTTAAATTCTGAGATTTCCTCAAAATCTAAGATTTCCTCAAAAACTGATATTTCCTCAAAAACTGATATTTCCTCAAAAACTTATATTTCCTCAAAAACTGAGGAGATTTCCTCAGAATCTGAGGAGATTTCCTCAAAATATGAGATTTCCTCAAAATCTAAGGAGTTTTCATCAAACCAATGGAGTTCTTCAAAGTTTCCCCAATTCCCTCAAAAAATAAGTAATCGTTTTTAACCTGAGTAAGTTGAGGAAAACGGAACGTTCAAAGGCACCCAAGCGGCTGGGCTAACGTTCCTCCCTGCGTCTACTTTTGCAGGGACCGAGCGCCGAGGAAAGGTAGGCGGCCGGGACAGCAAGGTGGCCGGGCCACTACATCTATCTCTCTTACCCTTCTTGCCGAAGAGCTCGTAATGTGTGTGGCAAATGCAAGCGCGGTTTTGCGGATAGCTCGAGTTTGCGACGCCTGGGGTAGCCAGATCGTGCATATGCGGGTCGCATAAACGGTATAGACAGAGCTGATCAAATGCCTTTCCACGATCCGATTTTTTTTTTTTTTTTTTACGTCCACCCGGCGCTCCCTTGAAATGACCGTTTTTATTAATTGAAAGATTTATCAGCCCAGATTTTAATACGTGGGCAGTTATACTTAACTAGATCATTGCGTCTAGTCGATGCAAGACAAAGAGTACGAGACAATTCAAACTAAAGAATTGCAAACCTAAACAAATAGAAAATCAAAACTACAACGAGGACACTTCAGCGAATCATGAAGCAATGACAACACTCCAACAGCTGGAAAAATATGCTTCCGGTAAGTTGTAAGTATGCGCAGAAGAGTTGAAGAGAGCGGCGAGCGAGAAAACAAAGTTAAGCTAAATTTCTCACCCTTCGATCTTCCAAGACCTCGCCAGGTCGCAGCTTTCTATGCTCCTACAAATTAGATACATGGTTATGGAATGTTCAAGTAAGTAGATTCCATAAAACCGGATATTTTATATTTGTATACATATATAAAAAATGTACAAAGTCGGTATACGAGATATCGATTGACAGCGTTATCTGCAGTCGTGCAAACTACTTACAAGTGCATGGACTTTGATATCTACCTCCAAACAAGATGACTACCTGAGCCTGGAGGTTAAAATGGAGAGCCCTTTTACGAAGGGTGTTTTATTTACAATAGAATATACAGAAGATTAACGAGAAAAGGAGCAACATGCCACTAATGTCTAGGGCGGTAGCAGTGTCCAATCTCTATCTAAAAATCCTACAATTAGTCACGTCTACTACGATTCTACAAGAAAACCGCACATTACGATGTGTACTACTACACTGAAATTCGAAGCAATTCATGATATGGAGAGAATTTCAGTGCTCAACCTGAAGATATAAAATTTTGCAGTCTCTGCGCAAGTTTATTAACGTACCAGATGTGGGCTATGTTCATACGACCCACAAACCAATACGAATAATTTAAAAAAAGCTTGCTATACAAAAGACCCACCCCGATCCACAGTATCGACAGTTCGATAAAGTGTTGCAATGTACTACACAGTCCTAAAATTACACTAGTTACTTAATCACCTTACCTCGTCACTGATAATAAGCGAAGGTCGTCTGCCTCCTTCCTCGGGAGGGATGAGAGATCCTCTGCGGCTCGATCCAGCTGATCCAGGTATTAGGGAGCTCTTTCGACTTCCCGGACCCTCATCCGGTGCAATAATTTCAGGGATTTTGGCACGCTAGAGGACAGGATGCACACAACGCATGCATTAGACTACGGCAAAACAGGGTCTTGGTGCGGTAATGATCCTATGGGTAGATATATTTTCGTGCTGAAAGGGTATATATTGGATTCCGTTTCCATGCCAAATGCAAATAAACATAAATAAAGGGCAAAATAATATTGTCAACGAACAGTACAGATAAAGCCTGTATCCAAACCACGTTAGTGTAAGGCTGTTAGGATCCCAATAATGCGGGGTCCCGAAAGGATCGGGAAAGGTTATTGTGGTCCACAGGACTCCATGATATTTGGACCCCGGGGTCCTGGGTACAAATACCAAGGGGCTCCTATCGACTCCTGAAATCATTCTGATCTTTTTGTGACCTCATAATATTTGGATCCCGCATTAAAGTCCCGCAGTTTGGGCAAAGGTCTTAACAATTAACAATCTTTAGTCCAAGGTGCAATTTAAACTTGTTTCGTCTCTCCAGAAGTAGTTTAATGAACAAGATCGCCAGTAAAACGCGAACAGCTTTCCATAACTATTTGAGTCGGAAATGCTAAATATGATAGGAACCAATACAAGAAATCAGAAGATCTACAATGAAACATTCAAAATCGTCATAGAAAAGTACTCTATTGAAGGAGCTTTCACAATTTATATAATGTACTTCACTTTGTGCACTATGTTGTTTTGTCTTATTTGCTATGTTTTTTTTTAAAGAAAGTAATCATGAATACTTACCTCACTTTAGAGGTAAACATACACACAACACAAAACATCTAAGGAGCTAGTAACAACACATGGCGGAAGTGTAAGCAGGTACAGCAACACAACGAGAAACATAAAAATAAAAAGGTATTGTCTTTCTGTGTCGTCATACAATGTGGTTCGTAGTATGGTCTTTGTTGTCCTGAGTAAAGTTGTGCAAAATGTGAGAGTAAAAACCAAAATATCTAAAAAAAAATGCTACAGGAAAACACCACTATTTGTGTGAGCCCTTTATAAAATTGTCGTATTCGGAGAGTATGTAAACAGAAAACAAAAAAAAAACTGTTTCATCATGAAACAGATCAGTAACTCACGCAACAATACCATATTTTCTTCACGACGGTAGGAAAGGTAGAAATTGTTTATGAAATGACACATACGCATTAAAATAGACAACAATAGCAAATACTTGAAATCGAGAGCATTTTTTAAAACAACCGCATGCACCACCCAGTTTGTGAGTGCATCACTTTCTTAAAAAGAAAATGCCCTTGATTTCATGCACCTGTTTTACTTGTTTCTTTTTTTTGGGGGGGGGGGCACCACAAAACATATTTTTACTTTGTTTAAATGGATTAAACGATCTCTAAAAAAAAGAGGGGGAGGAATTAAGTGGTCATATGAGATGGAAAAAAAAATACTCACTGGGAGTGGTGGGCACACACCTTTAAAATCGATAACACTAGAAAAAGAAAAAATTCTTACACCTTGGTAAAAATTTGAGTACATGTAGCTGGACAGCACAGTGCGGAGGATACATTGCAAGGGAGTTGGTCTCACCTTCCAGGGAGGTCCTCGTGTCGGCCCGGGGGCTTTTTCAAAATTTAATGGCGATGCTTTAACGTCACGCTTGAAAATATGATTTGTCGTGGAGTGCGCTGGCTCCACAATTATAATAGGAATTGCTGGAACCCTTGGTTGCTCCTTCGGCTAGGAAATTTGATTTAAAACAAACAATCTTGGCCTGATTATGAAGAAAGTTAATATTTCTGACAAAAGTTATGAACACAATATAACCCCTAATAAGCTGCGTATCTCCGACATCTATTTTTAAACTAACACATCTGAAAATTAAGTTGTCTTTGGTCATCGTATATATTGTCGCTTCAATACAAGAGTGTGTGCTGCTGCTTAACTGGTAAGTGTATGCGCGGTTTGCCCTAGAGAAGCGATAAGCAAAATGAGTAAATTAGTCTTAAAAACGCAAGTGAGCAAACTGTTGACACTCGCTCTGTCCTTGACCACAATTAGCATAGCAAGAACCAACCGTTGTCACTGTGCAGTCAAATACGATTAATGCCAGCCCTACGGTAAAAAGAGTATACAGAAATTGTTTGTAAAAGCGAGCGCATGGCAATGATGATAAGGGACGGAAGGCAGCGGCTAATCTAATACTAGATACGTTCAACTATCCGTTGGAGCCAGACGAACTTAAAGTGCTAATTACTACTGGTTATGCTGCTGATCCAAAGTAAACAACATTCGAGCGAGTCGAGGAACGTATTTCTTACAATATAATCTATTTAAACTTTGGATCAACTGCTTTTCAGCTAGTTCCAGTCTAGTAGTGAATTTTGCTGACCTTCAGCGTACGTTCGTCAAAGGTATCTTCTTCTTCTTCAGAGCTGACTGCGCTCTCGAGGCTACTAACGCGCCGCTCCATCTAACAGCATTCAGAATGTATTAGGATTAACCTCTAAAAACATTGTGGCTCAATGTGTACGTCACCCTACTTTCAAATACAAACTCAGCGTAAGAAATAATAAGTTGTTAACGCTTGAGCAGATAATTACTCCAAAGTACTGGGTATTAGTGTTAAATGGACAGACTGATAGAGAAGTTTTAATAAGAATGGTACATATGGTGGCGAGACATACGTACTAAAAGACTGGGGGACCAAAGTCCAAGAAAACCCGAGACAACCTCAAGAATGTAGGCTACACAGAGAAACGCAGTAACTACAAACACGTTGGTTAGATATACACAAAAACATCAAGGTCTTACCGAAGGAGTTTTGCTGTTGACCAAAGGCTTCTTCTCGTCCTTCTGCGTGAATGTCCCAAGAACACGCAACAAAGATGAAGTAGAGAATTAGAAGGAGGTCCCATTCCTTTTGACAATATATACAAGATGCAAGGTAGAGTAAAAAGAAATACTGACAAGTATTGTGAGTTAGAACAATCGTGATAACCATGCATGTTCTGAGTATATTATGAGTGGCAGTGAACGTTAAGCTTCACAATGGAGATGGGATTTCGAATGGAGATGGCATGTAAAACATAATTGAATGTCGTTTAATCTTTAAAATAGCGCATTCACGCTTTTCAAAACATGTTAGGCTCACGTCAGGCATGAGCGAGATTTCAGCGTAATCAGATGCAAAAGAGGCCCTAGTTCAAGAGAGGGAAAATCCAAATGCAAAGGTATTATGTTTCTCTGTACTGGTCCGTGATTTTTCATTGCGATTATTTTGGGCTACTACATGAGTACGATCGGCACATTCCTTTTAATAATAAATGGCCATCGATAATATCCATAATATTCTGGTCAACATCGGAACGCATAGAATAGAATGCATACAAAATGCACCAGAGTCCCCTTCCCTTTTCGGGCTGTACCATCTGCCAGGCCTACGACAAGGGCCCTCTCGCTCCATCCAAGCCTTAACCAGAGAGACTCTGAGACATAGAGAGATGAAAAGCGGGTGTTAACTCAGGAGCCGTGAGCCGGATCTCAGCACTGTGATTGGTACCGCTTGTCTCGCCGGGCCTGACAGTTGGACTCTTTAAGTCAGACAGGGATAGGCAGTTGCAGAAAAACGCTACGGAGACTGCGCGGAGGCGGAGGGGCTTCTAGGGCTGGCCGAAAGATGTACAGCAGCACCAGGCCTGGAAGCGCGAGCGTCACGAAAAATAACTTTCCGGTTCGTAGGGATCAGAGGTCTGGCCAACCACAGAACGCAGCTTTTGCGGCATTGAGTTGACTGTGGTCTTTCTCGGAGTCTCTAGCCTGAACAGAGAAACGAAGCTAAAGAAATAAGCTTCAGACGAAAGATGTGTATAGAGTTATGGAAGAGTGAAAAAGGAAAAGCAAATTTCTAAAGTTGGTGGGAAGTGCATGATTTAATAATGGTGTATAAAGGTTTAACTGCAGATTTAGTCCAAGTCTACCCTGGGTAAAATTAGCCAGACCCAAATCTATAGAGAAAACAAAGAAATAACAAATTTGTTGAGTAGTTATGATGATAGTTATCATTTGATCTACAACAAGGAACAAAACCTACTTCAAGTTATTTTAAACTACAACGTCTCAGCCTGCACTTTAGCTACGTAGGAAAGGAGAACGGTAAAAAAAGTCTCACCGGTTTCAAGGCAGCTGCTTTCACTTGCCCCTGTTTTATACCTGGCAAGCTAACTGCACTATTGACTTGCCCTGTTGGCTTTGAAGTCGGTGCGACAGATTTTTCGACAATCTGAGGCTCAGGATCGGGAACAAACGCCATCGGATCGTACCTTTTCTATTTAAAATATTCCAATCGTCAGTTAGTAACAAAGTAACACTTGATGATAAAACGATTGCGTTTACAAGAAAACGACGTTGGCGAGAAATAACGTTAATAACTACTCTGGACCTCACCGTCCTGGGCCGAGCCTCGTTTTGCTCTGCAGGAGGAGGGGTTAAGGTGTTGACCTCATCAACTGTTTCGGGCTCGGGGTCAGGAATAAATTTCATGGGATCAAATTTCCTCTGCTCAACAAAAAGAGAATATAACTTGATTAATCTATATTTCCCAACGTGTAAATTAAGCGTTACACATTTTCCAAAATCAAAACGAAAACTACATATCTAAAATACTGGAGGACTAACTACTACCTACATATTAAGTTCAAGGAATGGTCGATGCATTAATTATTATTCCAAAATTAGAGTCAAAACACAAATCGTCGGTTAAACAGAATAGTTAAAAGGGTAAAATGTGATAGGTGGAAATACTCGTAAGCGTTTCGAACAAGATGACAGCAAAAACCTATGCGCTCAGGAATAAAATAATCTCCCTTCACCAATTTAATATTAGAGCCAAATAAAAAGCGTTATAAATACAGGGTGGTCCTCAGACCCCTTCCTTTTGTTTTGCTTATACTGTGCATGCGGGCCGTCGCTACCGTCGCTCACCACGATGACTAATGTCCTCGTGTGAGTATGCAACCCATCCGCACGCCTGCATCCGGTACAGTATCATCAAAATAAAAGAGAAGGGGACTGTGGACCACCGTGTCCACCGAGCGAAACTCGGATAATGCAATGAGCATCTCCCCCAGGCCAGTTTCGAGTGCAGAACCCCCTCGAAGGGGTTTAATCGATTGGTTACGACTCCAAACCCCTTTCTTGCTTCATTTTAAATTATTTTTAGTAGGAACTGTCAGGGAAGCAGTTTTAAACGGCTTCTTGGGAAAGAGTTTTTGAGCATTAAAATAGTTAATTCAATGTCGGGTAAATGTCCTCTATTTCAGACGCCAGACGGCCAGGAGACGCTCAACCAGGTTCCATCAAAATAAACGTTTCCTAAGAAAATGCGAGGGTACTTTGGAAGCTGAACACCGAGCCCCTAAATCGAAAACCGGTATCCGGAAAATGGCTTCCGAGAGCTCGCTGGAAAGGTTAGACCTTCTAAACTATAGATTTGAAGAAATATTTTTTAATATCTTGCATACTGTTCTCTCCAAAAAATGCCAAACTGGCATTTTGAGGCGCCGCGAAAACGGACAAATTTTATACCGCTTTGCGAGAATGTGGGGCTCTCAACGGCAGGTCATCGCACATCTTTCAGGTTTTTTTTTTATGAAATTGACTGTACTGTCTTCAACTTTTCCCAGGCACTTGTTGATTGAGGAGGCGCATTTAGGCTTGCTACTGGAAACAAATGCTTAGACTGTCTACTGGTAAGTGCATGAAAAAGGAAAAATTCAAATATATTAAGAAACCTAACTACTGGATTAAAACTTGAGCAATTTAAAGAAACAAAAGAATCAGGTACAAAGAAGCTTGCCAAATATACTGTGCAGAACTCCATTAACGCGACAGCTTTGCTACTACCAATTGTACTCAAATGGTTAGACTGCATTGAAAATAATTTTCCAGTCGACATGTTCTCACCCTTGCAGAAGTTTTTTCTGGCTCTAGATTTTGAGTTATTCCCATGTCTTTTGTAACTGGTGCACTTAATGAGTTGTCTGTCACAATTTCCACATCAGGGATGAATGCCATTGGGTCGTACTTTTTACGCACCTGAGTAAATTTTAAAAAGCAAAAACTGTAATACTAAGAATAATTTCATTGCGAGGCAGACGTATCTTTTTTTTTTACAAACTGTATGAATAGTATACAATAGGGTTCATACCGGAGGTTCTTTTTCACCCGCTTGAGGTGCTGTTAGGAGACTCTCCTTTGGCTAAAGGGGAAAGGCATTACTAAGTTAAGTGCTCCAATTAATTTGCTAGACATATAGTATTAAAGTTAGATGTGAGTCACATAGGGTACGAATTTGATGGTGTACTTTTGTGATAAGTACCTTAACGTCCTCCACCTTAAGTGTTGGAGTGGGCTTGAGTGTAGGTTTAGGCTCCTGCACCTTCAAGTTTGTAGAATAAAAGAAATTAGTGTTTTATCAAGTAGGAAGTATGATTGTATTCTGCATTCAGGAATTGCAACTGTACCTTAGGAGCTTCAGGTTGAACTCCAAGTGTTTTTCCTGTTGGTGTAGCCTTAAGAAACATGCAAGGATGCAATGTAAGTAACCACATATATACTGTACATGACGTTTTTCAAAACGGTTTTTTTAACTACTCTTTCTGCTTGCTGTAGCAGGCAATTAAAGTAGCCTGATTTCCACATATTTCCAATCGCATCAATACTTCTTATCAAACATTTAAGGTGCCCTTACTCTCAGCGCGTTCGGTGTTAGTTGACGTGACAAAAAACTCTATTGAGGCTGTATCAGATTAAGGAGTTTAACAGTGTAATAGTTAAACAGTTCCATTTTCCATATTATTTGGGAATATAGCTATGATTTTCACATAAAAATGTGTTTATATTCCATAGATTTTCACATGTTTCACATGTTTTTTTTAAACAGAATCTTAAATACATTTGGTGATGAAACCAATACACTGGTAAAACAAAGGTAGGATATCCTACCTTTAAAAGGCACTAAAACCCCAAAGGCATTAAAGTTTTTTTCGAAATATTTCGTTCCTATGGAATAAAATTGGAATGTAAGACCTGTTTTCGTAATCTACGCAAAATTCCACATCGAACGAGCCTAATGTGATGAGGTTTAGATCAAAAAGGCATAAATAGATAACAAAAATTGTATTTTTTGAATTGCTTCTCATTTGCTGACTGCTTATCAGAACCCTGAACCATATCACATGTAGGCTCGTTTCACGCGGAATTTTGCGAGGAATGCGACAATGTATCCTAAAATGTGATTGGATTGCTCATCTAGCAGATATTTGGGAAAATCTGAAAATACACACTTTAGCGGGTTCAGCACCTTTGGAAAGGAAGGATATCGCACCTTTGTTCTTCTAGTGTAACTAACACTTAAACATCAGAACTTCAGTGCATACAGAGAGGACGAGCTAAGGGTGAGGGCACCTTTGTACTTTGTGTGTCAGAGTGGACGATGCAGTTTTGCGGGTTTAACTATACTCAATCCATCGATAAGGCGTCATGCCATGGCCACTGCGGTACAAGAGGGTATGCAATTCCGCAACACTGCAGCGTCCGCTTTGATACACTCGATAGAAGCCTGTTGTGCCGACGTTGAATAGTAAGTGGAAGGCTCGTTCAAAGCTCAGGAACCACAAGAGATTTGTCATAAGATGCTTCTTATTTTCCATTGGGCCAAGAGCTTCAACTCACTGAATTATGTTACAACAAATCGACTTACCTCACTCTCGGGGACCTTGGAGGCTACCTTGACATCGGTAGTAGGTTTCTTTTCTGGTTCAGTCTGGAGATGCACGTGCAAAAACGACCAAACACAAAAGCACTTATAAATTCATATATAACATGCACCAAGTGCGTAAACACGTCGCATGAATGTATTGCTCATTCCTTCATGCAAAATATGTACGTGTGACTTAATACAAAGTGCAAATAAAGTTATTGAACTTAAGTGGTCGATTGACCTAAAACTACCCCAGTATCATATGTCTCCCTAGAGGAATGCATTGTATACGAATGTAAACACCTCACTTATTGAAATAGCAGCTGATAAGCTTCCTATCCTTTCATAGAACTGCAAGGTAAGCAAATTTACACGCAGCAAAGGCCCTAAAAATACTAAAGCGCAATATACCTTATCGAATACTGAAGATTTGCGGCGGGCTTCAGAGGATTCCTCTTGAATCTGTATCAAATAAAAAAGGTGTCAAAGCGCGCAATGTTTTGAATTCAATAGCATTGACTGCAGTGGTATCATAAAAGAGAAGAAGGAACGATCGCAAGAGTGAGCAATGACACTTCGTGAACTATATTAAATATATTGTTGAGGAACGACGGTGTACCTTAACAGATTCCCTTCGTATTGGCGTTTTATCGCCCTCTTGAGTGACCTGCAGAAAAAAAAGGTTCAAGGTGCTCAGCTATTTACAGCAATCCAAAATCATTCATGAGTAGAATTAAGTTAGTCAGCAGGTGGGTAAGCTTCAGCGCAAGAATAACCTTAAGGAAGACCGGAGGGAGAGGATTAGTCTATTTCACCCATAACAGAGGGAGTGAGAGGGAGGGAGTGAGAGGGGCGACTGAGAGGAAAGGAATGTGAGGGAGTGAGAGGGAGGGAGTGGGAAGGAGAGACTGTGAGGGAGAGAGAGTGTGAGGTAGGGAGTGAAAGGAGGAGTGAGGTAGGGGAAGAGGGTACAGGAGACTAGGGTTGTCAATGGTGGGTCTGACCGAAAATCTTAGCCCAGCCCCGTCTAAAACAGATTTGGGCGGACTAAAATTTCAGGCCATACCCGCCCGATCGAAAACGCTTTGAAAGGGAGAGGAAGAGAGATCGGTTTATAAACTGAGATAGAGAGATCCAGAAGCGAAAGCCTTAAGCAGCGCACTGCGCGTCAACGGTGCTAACAGTTACATACTAAATGGATTTGTAACTTTTATTTGTACGAAATTATCGAATTATTTGCACACATTACGGTGTCGATTCGAACCGTTTAGCGTTAACAAAATTGCAGCAATGGAATTCACCACTACAATAAATTGTACATAGTCAGTTCTAATTAAAAGTGGACGGTAACTGAGCGCTTGAATGAGGCCTGAGCGGCGGCGGTGCTTCCAGCTCCAGCCGCTAGGGTCCAGCACGCTCCGAATCCACTATGAGAAATCGTGCGCTCATAATAGTGGTTAAGGTTGAAAGCAGGGCCACCGCTCAGGCCTTATTGTTACCGTACCATACCAGGGCCATTTGAGTAAGCCTACAGAGTAAAGTTAAGTGAAGCAAAGAAAAGAAAAGGCAAATGAGGCTTTTTTGCTGCAGGAAGCCAAGCACTGAACTAAACGAAAACGGATGGTTACCTCGGTTTTAATAACTGAGGCCTTTCTTTTCGTTTCGACCTCCTCGTCGACTTTTTTCGTGGAAAGCCTTCGTTCGCCAGGTTTCTGCGCCAAAAAGAATTCACGTGTCATATACCACAAATTTGCAGCAAATCGCATTTGAAGTATACATATTTATTATCACGTGGAAAGTGTACCTTTAGCTCTTCTACAGTGAGAGATGATTTCCTATCATCTGTTCCGTTTTTCAGCTGCAGCAAAAAGTGGTCACATCAATCATAGGGGCTTAAGTTAAGTAGTTCGAAACTATAAATTTATATCAGCACTTAGAATGCATTTTGAAAACAGTCCCATCAAAACGGATAATTTTATGCCAATACAATTAAACGTTTGGGGAGGTCGCCATTTTAAAATGCACTGTATATACCGGCGAAATTTTCGTAGCTTATTTAAAATTGTCTCGTGTTTATTTAGGTGGTGTTTAGGAAGTCATGTTTAACCTCGACAGTGTGTCGAGTTGTTTAGAGACAACACCCGCCGTCAAACAACTTAGCTCGTGCGTAGGACACAAAAGCTTTTATTGCTTTAGACATGGGTTGCCTTTGATCAGTAGTTGATTTACTTGAAACATAGTTTATTCAGTGAATTATTTAGCTAACAACATATTTATTGCAGACATTTAAACAGCCAGTAGCCTTTTGTAGTAGCGACAATCACGCAGTGAGGCCACCTCACCTTAAGCTCTTGCTTTGCTAATCTCTCTTTTTCCCTCTTCTCTTTCTCTTCTTTGGTGAGGGGTTTAAGCTGCACATTAAGGAAGCTGTCCTGTTTTTCTTCTTGCTTTTGAACAGGCCTTCTCTTAAGGAGAGGCTTCTCTTCTGGAGCTCCTTCCTTTTCCTTGAGAGACCCTATCCTCGAAGGTGGCGCTGAAGATTTCGGTGATGCGGGGGATGAACCATTGGTTTCCTCGGTGTTCTGCACGTAACATAGGATGGTAGAAAACTTGAGCAAAGTTAATTTACAATTTTTTCCAGACTTGTTGAGCTACAATTGAGATCGTAATAACAGTACTGACGAATTTATGTTTAGGAAGGGAAAGGTAAGGTACTAACAGGAAACAGACCCCATACCTTTTCGAAAGTGTCCAATCTAAGGGACGACTTTCGGCTCAAGGATGATGCTGCCAGTCGGAGCTAAAAGGTGCAGATATCTTTATTGCTCGGTTCCAACATTTCTAATATAATAAAAATAAAGTATAATTCATGTAATTTACAATTGATTAATGATTACAAGTCAGTTAAATTTTTACACAGATGCAACCTGCACAAGAGCAGTTGCTTTTTAATGTAACTTTTAAAATTGTGATCTTCTGTCTTTAAGATGTGCAGGCAGGCGTGTTTATGAAAGTATACTGCCATTTAGGCAGAGTTTATCATAGCCTTGTCCAGGCTGATTTAGCGCGACCATTTATGTCCATGCAGATGCAGGTGGCCGCAGGAGTCTTGAAGGCATGCCCAATGAAGAGACACAAAGGCGCGAAAGAACGCACGTCAACAGAAGAGAAACAAACATGGAAGGTTTGAAGAGGAAATGGTGTTTCGTCTAGGCACGAAACTAGAGCGTGCAGAAGGACTTCACATGACATAGCTGCATCCAAAAAAATATAAAATACCAATTGCTGGAAGTCTTTGACAAGTAGTAGAATGGCATTGTGCTGCTGATGTCACGCTCAAACAAAGGCAAATCTTTCTCTTTTGTACCGGGTGATTCATAGAAGACGCAGGTGCGGGCAGGTTTCCCTACCCACCGGGCCTATGGCGCCTTACGGGCAGAGCGGTGCGGGGCCTTGGGTAGGCAAACCCGCCCGCACCTGCGTCTTCTATGAATCACCCGGTACGTGGATTTTGCTTCACTTGCACTGCACATTGATAACGTGGCGCGCTAAAACAATCGGAGTCTTTAGGGAAGAGAGATACGTCCGTTCAAGTCGACAAAATTATCGTGCGATTGCGACTGAGGCTCAGCCTAGCGTTCAAGGTCACTGCCTGCTGCTCGCACTTCACTGATTCGTCCTAGTTGTTACAGAGTGGGTTACGAGCGGAAGGCGGTTTTCCCATATTCGTCCAGTAAATTACAGAAGCTGTATTTCCCATTCAGAAAATAAATGCCCTTCATATCCGTACAATTAAAATGTTGCCTTTCGTGGCCAGCAACCCGTCCATCCATCCCATAGCCCTATAGGCAATAGAAAAGCTGTATGTCAAACCACTACCACCGACCTCCCAGGTGACGGCAGATTGCCAGTCAACGATCGCCAGGCCAGTCACCGGACCGTCGCTAAAACGCAGGCAGGGACACTCGTCTTGTACCTGACGTGTTCTTCGACTGTCCTGCTCCTCAACCGGCATGAGGCGGCCAGACCATCTATCTAATTGGCACTAGCGCCAATGATACCAGCAGCACACATTCCATGGGCCACCTGCCGTGCACATTGAATTTTCGAAGATTCAAAGGCACACCCTTCCAGCAATGGCAAAAGCTACACTGACCAAGGGGTCCCCCACTCGCCAAATCGGGCCGTGCCCAACTCGCGTCAAAACTCGCGAAAATTCACGAAACTCGTGAGAACTCACGCCAAACTCGCTTCGAGAAGTTATCTCGCCAACTCGCTGCACACTCGAGTGGGGGGCCCCTCGACACTAACGGGCTCTACATAGATGGACAAGACGAATGCAGTTGCAAGCTTATTTGCTGGGTCACCTGCTCCTCCTCTTCTGCTTTCTTCGCCGCTGCGAGCTTTAACGCAGCAGCTCGCTCAACTGGTTTAAGCGTCACATCTAGGAAACTTTCGTACTTCGTAGGTTGGGGCTTTGGTGGTGGAGCTTTTCGTAATAAAGTCCTACCCCACGGCTTGCCGGGTTCGGTAGTGTCATCCTGCACAATAACAGCTCAAGAATGACGCAGAGTATCTAGCAAGATATCTTCGGGACAGAATCTTCAAGTTATTCTGGTAAAAGTGCAATCCTCTTCGTTTTACCGATGCTGTCAAAATGTTTACCATCGAACATAAAGAGGCAGGAAAACGTCTTGCATAACCGCGTAATAAGTCTAACACATGATCCTATAGAATGTCGAAAAATATGAGCAAAGAAATCACATCAACGAGTAGTTGTGGAAATGTAGATCATCTAGAAAGTACGTCCGATTTTCTCAGATGTATTCCACATATCACACAGGCGCGGTATAGGGGGGGGGGGGGTCGAGTGAGCTGCCTGAAAGGTGGGTAATTTGTGCTACAAAACCCCTGTATGTAGGCAACCTACAGTGCATCGCCCCCCTGTCGCCCCCCTCTTATACCGCGCCTGATAGCACAGAGGCTCGGCGCCTGCGAGACTCAGGGTAGGCTATCCCACAGTACACACATGCAATATGAGCAAGATGTTGCCTACCTCTCAGGCGCTTTGAGAGTTGCTATAGGCTGACTTTGACAGGTTCGTTATGGGCGTCCTCTCTGGGCGAGAGTTAAAGACATAAGTAACATGCCATCCATTTGAATATCGTAGTTTATGGTATTGTTGCAAATAGAAAATTCCTTAATTGTGATAAACAAAGATATGATATGCCCAAACGACAGAGTTAACTTAATGTAACTTCATTAAAAGGTCGAAGAATAGTCTAATATGAGCACCGAATACCGTACAAACACTAACAAGGTGGGACTAATAAGAGTGGCATTTGTGTATCAATGTGAATGTTGAACAGATTGTCAAAGTAGAGCACGAAGGGTTGGAAGGGTAGGAATGATATAGGGGAACTCACCTTGTCGTCTTTCTTGTCCGCTGGCTTTTTGACTTCCGGCTTTTTCAGAAGGTCCTTTCAACAGCAAAAAAACACAGGGTACATCAGGCAAACGAAAAGGGGCCATGCTGACAGAGGAAATACACAATATGTCTAATGTGATTTTAAGAGTTAATATGTATGCGTAGCCTTCAAAATGAGCTAATGGATCGAGTGGTGAACAGTACTTGACGTGTTCTATGATGAGAAGCTTGTTTTACGCTGCACAAATTGCTTTGTTGTTGTTGTTGTTGTTAATAATGAATCGAGTGGGCCACAACTAATGAAATCCGGTGTAGCTGACCCCAGAAATCACTTCAGATATCCCGGAAGTCCTTCGGATATCGCTTGCAACCCGTGAAATCCCTTTCTAATTTTTGAAACCCGGGGAAACCCTTGGAAATCCATGAAATCCCTTAGAAATCCTTGAAACCATTCCGAAATCACACGAAATCTTTCCGAAATCCCTTGAAATCCTTCTCATGCCCCATGAAATATTCCTATAGTCCCGTGGTGTCTTTTAGGCCTCACGAAATCGTTTTGTAAATCCATTATATACCGTGATAACGCCTCGCTGCAACACACTGGGTAGGCAAACCCATGAAATCCCAACGAAGCCCCACGAAATCTGCAGACGTCTTGTGATATCCTATGAAATCCTGTGAGATCCTATAAAATCTCGTAAAATACTTGAAATCCTAGAAATCCGGAGAAAAATCATCAAATCCCATGAAATCTTAATCCTCAAATCAGGTGTGCAAGCATTTTTGAAGTAGTGGCCCCTCGTTATGAATTATTTGCTATGGATGAGTAACAGTGCTGCGATTTTATGCAAAATTGTCAAGTTTTACCTTGTCATCGTTCACCTTCTGTCGACTGTCCCCGACACTCTCCACTTCGTTGTCGATCTGTGAGAAATGTTTATGTTCAGTGTTTTTGGTTTATGTTTTAAGTTCTTAGGCTAGCCTTCCTTAGTATCGGACAGTGGTTTGAACAACAATAGGATCCCATGCTACAAAAGTACGAGAAACGAGGAAAGCAAGCGACTTTACGACAGAAAAAGTCGTGCACCAGTTGGAATCGAAAAGGTTTACTATTAAGAAGTAAATTTTATGATCGTAAAATCAACTTGTTTTCCCCATCAGAAAAAAGATTGGTCCACATGGGATCATTCAAACAACATACACACAACAAAGAACACATAACACGAACGATAATTTTGCTTACCGTTCGAGGAGGACCCTGAAAAAAAAATATTTGAAAAATTAACTCAACTCAAAAAATTAAAAAGCAATGAAAATAAAGGTACTGTTGAAATAAAAAGGCAAAAAATTACGGCGCAGTACTAAAGCAGCTGAGCATACTAGCCTGTTACCTGCGGTAAAAAACCGTACAGGTTTCCAAAAAAATACAGTATTAAGACAAAAAAAAAATCGAGGAAAAATCAAAACACTATTGAACAATGGCCATTATCAATGCAAAATGTTGATTTAGTTTGGATAAGGAAACGAAAGCACACAGCTAATTTGAGGCACGTCAAACGCAATCATGCACACCTCATACACGCAATCGTCACATCAAGGATAGGCAAAGTACACTATTTTGTCGTATACCTTTTTCTCGACCTTCTCCTCTTTCTTTTCCTCGACCTTCTTTTCTTCGACTTTCTTCTCCTCTGATTTCTTCACCTCAACCTTCTTCTCGACCTTCTTCTCCTCTATCTTTTTCTCGTCGACTTTCTTCTCTTCAATCTTTTTCTTCTCTTCAACCTTCTTTTCCTCTGATTTTTTCTCTTCTTCCTTTTTCTTCTCCTCTTCCTTCTGTTAAAAAAAACCATGCATTGTTAAATACAAGACACATTCTGGGACAGTGCACGTACAGAACACATAGCACTCAATCAAGATCCAAAGACGGAAAGGCTGGGCTGTGTGAATCTAAAACTGGAATTCAAGAAAACGGGGAAAACCCAACTTTGCATCTGCATAACAAGAGGAGGGGAAACCTCAGACGTGTCTAAAACCTACACTCTAGCCTGGCGGTTCTGCTCCACGAGAGGAACTTTAAGTCGTGCTCGAAAGGGGAAAATCATAGTCATGCCTGAATTCAGCCACGGATTCCACATGAACAATGATTACATACGCTAAGACCAAATGTATGAGACGATATCGGTGCCAGTTCAAATATATATTTCTTGTGCTAATAAAGAAGTGATTTAAGCACAAAAGCGTGATTAAATACCTGCATTCTTATGGAAGAAATACGTGAAAGAAATGTGTATGGTAAGTCTACTTTGCTTCATACCTTTTCTGGTGGTTTTTTCTTTTCAGTGACTTTGAGGTCTGCTTCGGAATCATCGCTTCCAAACTCGTTTGTAATCACGACCTTATATGATGCAGCGTGTTCAACTTTGCAGCTTGCAATTTGCAGTGTTGCTGTTGTCCCATCAAATGACTGATGCATCTCCCTCTCTTTTATAACCACGTTGTTTCTGAGAATTGACACAAAATTAAATGGAAATCATTACGTCGGAAAAATTGGTTCGGCAATTGTGTGTACAAAAGGGTCAAAAAGTACTTACTTATACCACACAACTGTTGCCTTCATCTCCGTCTTAATCAATTTCACGGAAAACTCGGCTGGTTTGGCCTCATCAACTGTCTGCAAAAATGAGGAAAGGGCGAAAAGTTAAAACACATTACGAGTTACTTTTTAAAAAAGAAAATAGCTGCGACAGAAGATGCTTGTGGTAAGAACGGCAGTTTACAGTATTGGTCGGATTTCTCCCCCAGTTAACGAATAAAACTGCAATATCATATACCTGAGGTTTAAGTCCCTTGCTTATTTTCGGCTTATCACCCTTCGGTTTCGGCTTCTCTTCTTCATCCTTAGGAATATCTGTAAGCTCGACTGTTTGTGACGCAGTTTCACCCTTTTCGTTTTTGGCAACAAGTTTGTATGAGCCCTTATCTGTTTCCTTTATGTTCTCAATTTCAAGCTTCACCGAGAATTCGCCTTCTTTAACTTGCGTAACATGAATTGTGTGCCGAGAGTCTTCTTTGACCGCCGATGTTTCTTTAAACCAGGTACATTGAGGAGCAAACTTAGATTGAACGTGACACTCCACAATAACAGTCTTTTTCTTCACAACCTTAATGATCTTTGGTCTTTCTCTGATGACAGGGATGACTGTAAATCAGATAAATACACGAAATAAGGATCTGAAATAATTAAGAGTTTTGAGTAAGCCGATGATGAAATAGTCTTACTTTCGATGTTGAGGGTTAAGTTGGCATTCAATTCCCCTAGGCTGTTCTTGATATTACATTTATATAGACCAGAGTCTTCCAGTTGTGGGTCCTGTACAAAATTGAAGGATTTAATTAGTCACTAGGTTGTAACGCACGAGTACATAATGCCAAAAAGTCAAAATGCACCGACCTTAAGCTCCAGTCTGATGTAGTAAACGTCACCTTTTGCCTCTACTTTCATCGTGATCTTAGAGCTTTCCTTTACCTCTTTACCATCGCGCGTCCATACGATGGTGGGCTTAGGATCCGCCTTTACACGACAGTCCATAATAACTAATTTACCGTTTTGTTCGGAAACGATGCGTGGTTTGTCCACGAATACTGGTCCGTCACCTTCGGGTTCAGGTTCTGCCTCGATGTTTAAATTAAGATTAGCATTACTTTCGCCGAATTCGTTCTTTACATGGCACTTGTAAGTGCCTCCATCTGGTCCTGCCGGATCCTGAAATTAACAAATTTGTGTAAAATAAAATAAAACTGCACAACATTATCACAGTTCTGAAACGAATAAATTATACCTTAATTTCAAGAGATAGTTCGTAGGTATCTTCGCCAGCTTCGACGACTTTAATTTTTATTTTTGACGTCTCTTTAACAACTGTAGTGCCTCTAAACCACGTAACGTCAGGTTTCGGTTTCGCTTTGCACTTACACTTCATTGTAATAAGAGTGCCGGTCTCGTTTGGAATGATTTTAGGTTTCTCGACGAATGATGGGGCAAAACCTGCATCATCTCCGCCTGAAACGTCATAAATCATGAGTATTGTATACACGACATCATTTGATTCGTACCATCGGTTTTTTTTCTTTTTTTTCTTTTTTTTCTTTTTCAAAATTCCAAATACTGATAATTCAGAAAATCAAAAAGACAATTTCAGGGGTAAAGCAGACAGAAATCTCACCACGCTCCAAACTGCCTGGATCTCGCTCACCGCAACTGAAAGTCAATCATGCGACATTGCCCAAACTCAACAAGTGCACTATATACAGAATGGTTCAGTGGCTCATGCTAGAAGTATAGTACCATCGTAAAAGAGAAACTGAAAGTAACGAGCAGGCGTGGTAAGAATCGAGAAACAGGAAAGACGACAGGATAGTTTTGACAGGTTTGATACATTCCCATGACATCCATAAACCACGAGACCAAATCACAATATATATCGTGCGCCACAGAAGCAGTTTTTAAATTTCCTACTTCTATGAGGTGATTTGTTTGGAATAAAATTATACATTTACATATATACACATTTATATACACATATACAGGCCGTACAGACCGGACCAAAGGACCTTATTAGTGTGACCAAATTCCTGCACCATTGCAAAATTGCCTGCGGAAAAGCGTGCTGGGATTAGGGAGTACATGCAAGGAAAGAAGCTCTGCGAAGGCGTACCTTGGAAGTTGAGTGCAATATTGGCATTGCTCTCGCCATATATGTTGAAGGCATTACACCTGTAGTTCCCACCATCCTCTCTCGTTGGATTTGACACTTCCAACGTGAGGAGGTACGTGTCCTTGCCCATGGACTTGCGTGACATACGCACTCGGTTAGTATCTGAAATGACCTTTTGGCCCTGAAACCAGGTAATCTCGGGGGCAGGGTTGCCTTCCAGGATGCACTCCATGATGAGCACCTCTCCTTCCTGGCGAATGGTCGGTTTCTTCGGGAATCGCGGAGCCTTCCCGTCGGGGATTCTAGATGAAACACGCAAAGCATTGTCAAATCGTGATACCATGCCGAGTGCCTTGGCATTACGAAATGACTAGGGAAAAGAAAGAACCCTGGCCAGTAAGAGTTTTTAGATAGGACAATGAGGACTTCACACGACAGAAGGAGATCCTAATTCAGGAATCTCTAAACACACTCGTACTATGGTTGACTTGAAGCTCACTTCGGTTTGTCGCTTGAAGTGTCGAAGTTGAGATTGATGGTAGCTTGACAGGTCCCGTTAGCGTTACTAGCCACCGCCTTGTACTCGCCGGCATCCTCAATAGCTACGCCGGTGATTTGCAGGCGAGCCATGAAGTACAGCACCTCGTCCACCTCCAATGTCATCGCAAGCCGGCCGCCCTCCTTTAGTTCCTTGCCAGATCGGAACCTGAAACCAATTCCAAGTTGTGTTTTCTAAGGTCTGCTGAGCTCGTTCTTTGTTTCCGGGATAAATAATGCTGGTGCCAAGACTTACCACTGAACTGAGGGCTTGGGCTCGCCGACCACTCTGCACTCGATGATGACACTGTTGCCGTCGTCCGTTTGCCGAATCACGGGTCGTTCGGTGAAGGTGGGTTTGATGCCGTTGTCCGGGACCGGGGCCTCGTCGCCTATACCCACCCGACAAACTACTCAACCCAACCCTCACACAAACACACCAAAGCCCAACTCCACCAACTCCGAACTCCACCAGAGACTCTTAGGTACGTCCAACAAAGCAAGAGGATTTTCATTTATATTTTGTGTGTCCTCGCTATAAGTAGGCCATTACGACACAAGCCCGTAAATTGTCGGGGACGTGGGACATGATTAGGTATAACGTTCGAGAGCTACCAGCAATGTACATGCACAGCTCAGTCCACATTGTATACTCAGAGAAAAGAGCGTTTTGTGCGGGAGCACACGCTATGCAAATGACCTGTGTGAGCTAAGTTTATTAAAAGTGAAAAATAGAATTAAGACCTGCAAGAATGGAGCAAAACTGTTTCTCCTTAAATACACTGTACGTCGTTAAGCAGAGGAGGTGTGTTGAGGAAGAACAGAAGCGTAAACAGTAAGAAAGAAAAGATAGTAAAAAAGAGAAGTGGAAAAATAAACAACAAATAAGGGCCTTGTCCCGTGCCATAATATGAGTACATAAATGTCACACATTTTCACATGAAAACACTTCCTGTCAGAGGGCAATTCAGTGAGACAATGATGCGACAGCAGCGGCGGCAGCAACAAAAATAAAAACAGAGATAAAAATATCAGTATGACTGTTTGGGACAAGGCCTGGCAGAAGTGCATAATCTCCAGTGCGCTGGTGAGAACCCTGTACCATCGGTCGTATATTTAATATATAAAATACCACGCAGCCTGATCTACCGAGCCACTGAACCATCCAGTTTCCACCTGCAGATGCAAGCCGCACCAAGAGCCTCCAGGAGAGCGGGTCCGTGCGTGAGTCTTTTTTTGTGCTGAGGACATTGATGTATGCTTTCTAAGGGTCTATTCAGCACAGTGGGATTTTTGCGCTTCTACTCTAAGCAGATAATTGCTTGCGATTCTCACGTGAAGATTTGTTTCACATAAAAATCGTTGAAAGCTTAATGTAAGTTCTTTAGCCAATGCGTAGCTATGGTCGAGGGATTTGGTAATTAACTGTAAGGTGTCATGATGGGCGACGCAAAATAAGCCAATTGTACAAAGCAATCACTTGCTTCAACATGCGATCTGATGAGTGCATAACGCTTAACATGCCGCTTGAAAAAAGAAAAAAGAACCAAGGCGAGCATAAAAAAGCCCGCAGAAAATTGGAACGGCCGATAAGCGCAAGACATGTTTGCGTGAATGTAACTCGTTCGAATAGGTATGTGAGAGTTTCCCTCTAAAACCCTATCATAAAGCAAAATTTAGGTATCGCATACAGACAATGTCCACTTAAGATAAAATAAAAGTATTTTTATTTTTTAAAAACATCTATTTTTTAGAATGTGTAACTGTTCAAATTGTTCTGACTTTCACGATCCTTTTCTCTTGGATGGCTCCGGTGTGCTGATATATACAAAAGCACCACTGTACCTACGGACGACAATTCACTGCAAATCCAGGGAGCCACGAAAACCCAAAAATCAAAACAACAAAAACAGCAAAGCGACCAGAAAACACCAGCTGTGGCTGAATGTCACATATGCCGCTCAGGAGAGGGCATTCCACGTTTATGCTCTAACAACGACTAGTGGTCTAAGCTTATAGGCGAAGCAAAAGCCAAAACGGACGGACATAGCTATGTCTCAAACTTCACCCCAGAGCCAACTACAGAAGCACGTTGAGCAGGAAGCAGAGGGTGCCGATTGGCACAGACACATTACGTTTACTTAGTACATTTTGTATGTACAGAAATTAACAGTATATACAGTAGGTGTAGATACTAGCTAGTTGCAAAAGTGTTAAGTAACGTAAGCAGGTCGATAGCTTAGAGCTCCCCCTTCCCATTCTACACATATGCTTAATTTCAGGACAAAGGAAAGAAAACAATGTTTTTTTCTACTTGGCAAAGAAAATTAGGGTTTTTGTAGAATTGCACGTTTAATGAATTAATGGTTTTTTTGGGGGGGTTTTGGTGAAGTTACAACACGTCGTAACACCTAACCAAATATGGATACTTATAAAATATGCAGTTCCCGATAGAAGGTGCAGACGAGTGCGAAGGACTGTTAGGCTCATTTAATTTTCTATTGTTAGTTTAATAAGCGGAAGCGTCAACAAACATTCTTTCCATATCGGGACCAATTCTTTCCTAATAATCCTAGTTAAACTTGAGAGTTAAAAAGTGGCAAAATTAAAGACACCTCTCCTGCCCAATGACGCAGCGGACGACACAAGCTGGCTCTGTACAAAGCGCATAGCACGGATTTGCATGGAAGGCTAGTGCACTCCAAGGTATTTCAGGATCTACTTAATTTCAACGAAAAACTGCTGAGGTCATACACGAGACACAGTGGGCAACGTTTGATGGGCATAGCGGTGTGCGGATACTTGGTAGAGCTCTTTCCCCATTTTACCATATTAAACCACATCAGTTTTTCGTGGAATGCCATATTCAGGGATGAAAGAGAAAAATGCTGACTGTTAGATGGTGAAAAACAATAAATCTGAGTCGATTTTGTCGGGGCACTAGAAAACAGTCCCGTTCATCCCTGCCATGAGAACGTCCTAAAATATCTTCGTTTGCAGTGCCAGTGACCGGTTATGCAACAGTTGGCTACAATGAGGCAGTCACCACCGCCGAATCATACCCAGATTGGCGTAGTAATGCTTTCATCTAGCAACACACATCACATTTCGGCAGCAACACTGCTCTCTGGGGTTGAAGTGTCGGAGTAAGGCGCGTTGGAGGTGATATAACCGGGTGGAAATGTCGAGATCTCAGACAGAAGAAACAGCTTCAACACGAACCTTTTAGGCAAATTTATATTCTGTTAAAAAAAATTGAACTACTAAGTGTTTGAGTTGCATTCTAATGTGCTAAAACCAACCACAAACAGCGAAATATAACTAAGAGTATTTTTTGTAAAATAATTAAATGAATGCCGTTTATTGAATCTAAGATCTAAACTTTCCACTCCAATTGAAATTATATGATCAACATTAGTAAATCAGATGATGGCGCCCGCCAGCATCATTCTTAAAAACAGGACACGCTCTCTATGAAGTCCGCCCGTAAATATGAGTATTAAACGCGAGCTTTGCGAAATTGTGAAAACAAATGACAGAAAACAGGGCAAATCAGCTGAAGAATATTTTCCGAGAAAAAGATCTCGGCAGTTTGAAATTCAAAGGCTAAGCAGCGATCCCCCGCGCAGTTTCACACACAAATTAGTCTACATTTAGGTTTATAGTTTATTGGACAATTATGTAGTCTTTAAAATTGCGAGAAGATTTAAAAGAACTCCAGATTTAACTTTTATTATTTAGTGACACTATTTTTATTTCTTTAAAGTTTTAAAAATTAAGAATTTAAGGGGTCAGCGTTACCGGCCGTACAAGCTCTAAGTTTACTGAGGGGGCTCCAAATAAGTAGAGTGCGAGACCAAGGGAGGAGACTGCAAGCCTATTTGTGTGGAAGTGACTCAAGCCGCCAGGTTGCCACACACATAAAGCTTTAATCTGACGATACTCACTATCGAAGTTGAGACTGATGGTCGCATTACTTTCGCCTAGCTCGTTCTTGGCTGTCACTTTGTATTTGCCAGCGTCCTCTACAGTGACATTCTTGATTTCCAGTGTAGCGAAGTATGAATGACCATCTTTGTCGACCGTCAGCTGCAGTGACAGAAATATAGGCAACATTAATTTCTGTACAGTATTCCATTTTGCTGAAGAGATGTAGAGTGAAGAGCTACAAGCGGCAGTAGCGATTCCCGTGTCCCACTTGGCTCGCGCCAGCCCTTCCTCAAAATAGAATAGAGGCAGAGGTGTGACATAACTAAAAAAAAAACAACTCAAAAACAACCAAATCTTTTTAACATTAAAATATGCAAACGATTCAGCCTACTTAGGGAAATCTGAATAACATTTTAATTTCGATTTTATGAAACTGAAAACTAGTTTAATTGAAAATTCTAGAGTACCTTGTGTCTTGGGCCAGCCGTGACGGGAGTGTTGTTCTTGGACCAGCTGACGGTCGGTTCTGGGTCGGCGTTGATCCGGCATTCGAACAGAAGGCGTTTCCCGTCATCCTCCTGTCGAATTGCCGGCTTTTTCGCAAAAGTCGGAGCGATCCCATCCACTTGCCTAATGACAAAGGGGAAATAGTCACAACAGGAGAAATAGAAAACTTTGGTAACGACACACAAGAGATTGACAGTTAAATTAAAGAAATTAAAATGCTATGTTGTTATACTCTTTCATCCCCGTCGAGATGAATGTGTGGTATTAGTCCATGCTGTTAATGAAACAACTAAAACTCACCTCGGCCCTGCTTTGTCAGCGGCTGAAAAGGGGTAAACAAAAAAGTGAGATAAAGAGCAAGAGACGAGAGCATAGGCATCAGTTAACCAAGACAACAGCAGAAAAATAACAAAATAAATAAAAAATACCAAATATTTTAACTTTTCAGTGAATACCCATCAAATTAACGATTGTATACATAAAACTAAAAGTGTTTAAAAGTTTGAGTCAAGAAACCTACAAAAAACCTTGAGTGACGATTGGAGTGGAGTGGCCTAGTAAAAAGACACGTAAAACCAAAAATATCCTAGTTTTGTTTTACACAATTTAAAAGTACAAAAATGTCGAAAATGTTGTGCCAAAACATCTGCAGTTGTCATGTGTTTTAGTTCCTGTTAGTTGCTGGGTCATGCTGAGAGTACTTAAAAGTAGAGCATGTGCATTGTGCAATGCGTTTTATTGAAATTGGTGCAAGGTGTTACTGCGTACAGAGATGAAATAAACGAAAAGTGGTAGTAGAGTAGTAGCGATAGAGAGTTTGAGCCGGGCTACTAATAAATATAAATGGACTTACTTATCTCGGGGCTCATCCGCAGCTGGAAGAAACAGTTCAATTAATACGTGTGTTGGTGGTTAACCAGATGTATTTCGTACAGTGTAGATTTCAATAAACACATCACATAAAAAAGCTTATGGTTAATTTCACTTTGAAACCTGCAGCACTGTAAGTTACGCTAACATTTCACTGTAGGTTACGGTAAATTTCGGCATAAGCTACACTATATCCCCTGTTTTACCGAAAGGTATAGCGCAGCCGCAAGTCAGTGTATCTTAAAGTAACATTCACTGTGACATGCAGTAAATATGCACCGTAACCTTCAGTCCTGCCGGGTTCATTGTATCTTAAGGTGACAGACCGTAAGCTTCTAACACTGCACACGCAAAAAACAGATTAGCTAGATACGTGATATGTAGTAAAATTAGCTGTAGCAGCTAACTTTTTGGCCATCTTAAGTAGTTACCAGCCACTACGGGTATGACCTTAGCCGCCAGAACTAGAAAATTAGCTAGCTTAGCGAATTTTAATACCTGTCCCGAATCCAGCTAATACATTAGCTTTCTCAGCTAATCCTTCTTTTGCGTGCAGCAAAGCTGTAGATTGTAAGTGCTCCATTGTGTCGTGCGTATTTTGCCTGTCTGCCCGAATCTCCTTGTCCCCATTTAGGTGTCCAACTGGGCGAAAGGCCTCCGCCAGCGCCGGCACACTCTCGAAGCGGCTGTGCAGCTGTGCCCATACCAAGTGACTTTAGGTAGAATCTTAAGGTAAGGCTTGGGTGAAACTGGAAAGTCAGGTGAAAAACAGAGTTTTTTAGCTTTAAATCTACATGCTAGTGAAATCAAGAAAAGGCTCTCTATGTTATTCTAAGTTGGTTCGTTGCGGATCTTTTAACATATGATAAGTCTACAGATAGACATAACACCAAGAATCATTTTGAAGTTATAAATTTTTTATGACATTTCAAAATAGCTCTTGCGCACAGTGTTATGTCCAGCTATAGACTTATTATATGTTGAAAGAGCCGCGACAAACAAACTTAGAATAATAGAGAGCTTTTTTTTCTTGATTTCACTCGCATGAAGATTTAAAACTAAAAAGACACTGGTTTTTGCCCGACTTTCCAGTTTCACCCAAGCCTTACCTTAATAACAAGAGGTCTAACAAATGGATCAGAACGGTCATTGGAGTTCATAGGAATTCCCTGATATTTGTACGTCCAATGTAAAAAAATCATAGGGATACCTATAACATAGGACTATCGACTTCAATGACTGTCCCCATTTTTGTATCGCCCTTAAATGGCGTGGTTTGGGCCGAGGGGGCCTCAACTCCAGCAATCTGGTGTACACCTACCCCGGCAATCTACGATAATCTTCGGCAATCTCTATGTAATCGGCTGCAAAAGACATGCTTTTTGCCTACATTCAGGGTGACATTAGTGCGTGTTGCCTAGTTACAGGCGGTTTATGCCCTTAAAGCTAAATATTCGTTAAGCAATCTGGCAATCTTGGCAATCTGGTGTACATCCTACAAGAGAGTTGAGGCCCCCTCCCCTCGGTTTGGGCACACCCCCTAAGGCAGTCATTTCTCTTTAAAGCAGAGTATACTGGCTGGCTGCGTTGGGCGTTGACATGGGCGGTGCACTGATCTCCTTCTAAGAATAGCGGAGTGCGAGGCCGCTCTGCCGCGACGCCCCGTAACCTCTCGTTACATAAACAAACACAACATTCCGAATGCCAAGCCAGGTCAGACAGTCGGCGCGGACGGCGCCGCTCCATGTGGGTTGCGTCAGTAGTGGATCTGCGTTCGCAAAAAGTGGATGAAACCCTCAAGTGCGCCCAGCTCCGCCTAGCTCCCTTTCCCGAAGAGTGCGTCTCTGACGAAAAGATTTGACATTTGCAGAATGCAAAACGCAAACGCCCTTGTATGCTCGAGTGTTGTTTACTTCAATCCTAAAACTGCGGACCACCATAGGCATATGGAGCCTACTTCGCGCAGATGTGCAGGTGCCGCCATGCGATAGAGGCTAACATACACATCCTCTGCTACCAAAGCTGTCGGTCAGTTTGTCCGGAAATTGCGTTTCACGGGTTTCACGCAATCCGACGCACTCGATTCGCATATGTACACAGTACTACTGAGAAGCTGCGGCAACTTCAAAAACAGGACTGGCTCAAAGGATAAGTGAGTCTTAACTTTTCAGTGCTACTCTCAATACTATTGGGTTGAGTTCCTTGGGTTATGAATAAATGGCACTACGCGATCTATCTTATTTTAAGAAACCAACTTATACATCTAAAATTGCATCCGATGGGTAGAAGCGTACAATTCAAAAGTAAAGGGAAAATTTTTGTTTTAAAAATGCGTACTGTAAAAACGATATCTCATTTTTTGATGGAAAAAAGAAAACTTTGAAGAACTAACATAGTGTGAGGAAAACTCTTCAGATTTTGAAGTATCCTAATATATGTGGGAATTTCCCCCCATTTTGATTTTGATGTACACAATTATTGTCGTTTTATATTTAAAGTGTAACATACACAAAATAATATGGGTTTACGATGATAGATTTCGTTTGCTGCGATTTTAATTAAAGGTGCTACCTGAGATACTTACGGCTGAAATTGAGGTTGATCGAGGCTGCAACTTCTCCCATCTTATTCTTGGCCTTGACCTTGTATAGGCCTGCGTCGCTCTCGATGACGTCATCGAGCTCGAGGACGACTGTGAACTTGTTCGAGCCGATGGGCACGGTCTTCATGACCGTCCGTCCGTCCTCAGACAGCTGCGTGTCCCCCCGGAACCAGGTGATGTCTGGCTTTGGGGAGGACAGCAGCTGGCACTCGAAGACGAGGCGGTTGCCGTCATCTTCCTGACGCAGCTGCGGCTTCTGCGTGAAGCTCGGCGCGAAGTCGTCGGCCACCCCCATCCTGGATGGTGGAGGGGCTCAAGCCCTGGAGGCACTCGTTATAGTGTCGGATTGGGACTCTCCCCGGTGGCAAGGCTCGCCCTGCACCTCCACCTGTAAGAAAGACACACTCAATGTCGACAGTCCAGACAAACACGAGGCCAGGAGGGCCAACGAGTGTCCACCAAAAGAGGAAGCCCATAAATTAGCACATCACTCATCAAACTCTGTGTGTAAAACATTTTCGTAAATTCACAATAAATTTTCAAAATTTTCATCGTGACTGAAAGTGAAATTGGACATTTATGACGTAGTAGTAAACTTTAAACCATCAGAGGCTTTGTAAAGGACAAATACTAGATGCTTTTTAAGGATATCTAATCAAAATGCAAAACTGTGCGATTTGCTTATCAAAAGATTTTTAATGTTGGAAGTATTGGGAGTACACAATACAGCGGGCGTGAAGCTGCCGCAATCTGAGGGGGGATAAGGCATAATTTTTGGACGTAATTTTACGCGTTAAAAGATAATGGAGTGGTTGTGTTCCCTTCACTGTTAAAACCTTACGAAGCAAAATGCCAAATCCTTCGCAATTGCGAAGCATTCGCTTTGTAACTACAAAGCATTGTTTCTCAAATGCGAAGGATTTGGCTTTTTGCTTTGTAAGGTTGTAACTGCGAATGGAGCTGGCTGACTTACAAAAATGCCAGTAAGGCCAGCTTCAAGCCAAAATACAGTGACTAAATGTTCGTGGGAAAACTGCCAACTACCAATTAATAAAAAAAAAACAAAAAAACAAAAAAAGTTGTTTACGAACACAACTCGTGCACTAAATATCCAAGGGTAAGAATACTGCACAAAAACATCACACACCTGCACTGATAAATAAAGTGTTCAACAGTAAATTTGAACACTAAGAAGTGTTCAAAGTTTCATGGCCAACCCTGATGATGAACGATTTGAAGTGTTCAACTATATTGTTTAACACTTCAAAGTATTCAAATATCGATGCGATCACTTTGAAGTGTGCAACATAGTGTTGAGCACTTGCATGTGCACGCCAGACGCCAGTTGAACACTCAATTTGTCAGTGTACAAGTTTGCGATAGAATTTTCACATACCTACGAATGTGCGAAAGTACTCACACACTTGGGGGCAGATAAGTGTTAACATTTAAAAGTGAACGAATATCTTTTCGCTCCCCTCGAAGCGTGTGACTATTTTTTGTCACACGTTTTCAGGTGTGTAAATCTTTGCCCTCATAGACGTGCGACATTTGTACACTAGGATTTGTAATATTAAGATAATGAGTATTGAGTTGTATAAAATACTGTGTATGCGCTAATAAACTAAGTAAGATACTGCTTAAAACTTGTAAGTGTGCAACTGCAAGTTAAATACTCGTATTGTGCAACTCCGAGGTTTTATACTTGTAAGTGTTCAACTCAGAAGGTGTGCACTTGCAAGTGTGCAACTCCACGGTCCAACACTTCATTATATTGAAAGTTCACTGTGGAGGAAGTGCTACACTTGCAAGTATAAAACTACGGAGTTACACACTTGTAAGTGCACACCTACCAAGTTTAACACTTGCAAGTGAACAGATACCGAGTTGCACACTTGCATGTATTCAATTTCCCATTGCGTACTTTTAATTGTTGAGCAGTTGCACTTAGAGTTTATCAGAGTGGTTAAAATTTAACGCGACAAAGAACTTAGCGTCTTCAATTTACGCCTGAATTCGTAATTATAAAACTTCGTTGAATCCTATGAGAAATTCAGATGGGTCATGAGGTCTTGTGCGACTCGACGTGTTATGAAAACATATGAATTGAACGAATTGTTTTACAGTGCACTACTTCATCCCGCATTCATAGCCCATTCACACTGTTTATGTTTATGTTTTTAGTATTTTGTGCTCGTCTGAGAGAGCATTTAAAAGAACCTGGATGGGACAATTGAGTTAAATTGGACACAGGGTATTTCACACCAATACCCTGCCCCGCAGAAGTGCGCAACACCTTCCTCCTACCCCCACCACACTCAGCACCCAATGTGCCCCGGCTCACTAAAGGTAAGGGGACACTGAAAAGGCCAGGAGAGAGGCAAAGAGGGGTGAACGTTTTGTTTGATTGTGCAGAGGCAGACCAAAGCGTATGGAGATAGGGAGACGGAGAGGGGACGGAGAGACGTGCCGTTCCCTCAGCTGAGCACAACGCTAAAGCCGAGGCGAAAGCTTTGGCCCGTAGCCAGGAGCTCCCCCTCCCATCCCATGACGTCTCACGCGACGGTCGACTTAAGAGAGAGGTGTGCGTCTAGCTCGCCGCCACCCCTCTCCTGTTGGCGGTCAGCTGACTAAACCCCAGTTGCGTACGAGAGATTTTCAATCAGAATTTATTGCTACTTTTTGTTTCAGACATTGCAAAACGCCTAAACACTTATTTCAAGAGGAGGACTTTTTTACTGCCTCGTAAATAAAGGAGCAAGGGTGGTTTCAAGTCAACCAGATGGCCTTAGCGACGGTAAGTTAAGTGATACAAAATAACTGTTTTACACTGACAACTCTGAGTACGAAGTCGATTCTGACTGTAATGACTGTGATTGTAGGCTTCTTAGACGATCCAGTCTATACCAGAGGGTTTGGAGAGCGCGGGGGAAGCGGTGCGTTAGTTGAACGTCCCAACTTCCCCCCGCCGGCCAACAATCACTACTGTGCGCCAGGCCACGCCCCATCCAGGCAAACCCAGCTCCACAAACAATATACACTCAACACTCGTCCAAGCCTGGCCTGAAGGTAGGCCATGCCAGGGGGCAGGGCCGCCGAGGCCCCGACTCCAACGACGAGCACCTATGGTTGCTCGGTCTAGTGCTCTTTCAAAGCGAGGGGCGATGACCACGTCGCCGCTCACTCGCCCAACAACTGCCTGGTCTCACAAGGGAACTTATAAGTGTTAGTCCCCGATTTTGTCCCGCCTAGGGTTACAGCGTCAGCAAAGACGGACGGCAACGCACAAGACCGTGAATCTCGGAACAAATGGTCGTAACTCTAGTGCTAGAACGCAATAACGCATTTAATTACTAACAATCATTTTGTACTAGATTTTCTTTTCTTCGGATCGTCTATTTGTTAACATGAAATGTTAAAGTTTTTTACGTGGTACGCCTTGCCTACACTGTAAATCCGGGGTGTCTAGCAGGTCACAAAACTAGGCGACTTTCCGGGTAATTGCATTGTATGAGTCCACAGGCGTTCCACCCATTGTGCTCATGCATTTATCCGGAAAACCAGAAAGTGTCCTGCAGATAGCCGACATAAGTCGCCTAGTTTTGCGGGTCAGGCGACTTTGTCGCCTACCTGCTGGACACCTCGAATTTACAGGGTACTTTGAGGCATCTCATCTGAGGCTCACTACTCACTAGGAGGAGACGGAAAAGGAGGGGGCAGCAGAGATCCTCCCAAAACCCACCCCTGACAATGAGCCTACGCAAGTCCAGCCTATGCAAGCTATCGTAGCTCAAAGTACGTACGCAACATGTATATGCGAGTACTGCGGGGTTGCCTACCCCGAGTCTCGCAAGCGCCTAGCTCCCGTAATTTGCCGACTGAACAAGAGAATAAACGACGTACTTTCTGGGCGATCCCTAACATGCACCATTCTATGGACTGAATTTGACGGAACCTAATGAATGGATAGTACATTGCGTAGTACATAACATTTCTATAAGCAGCAGTGCTAGCGACATGATATTTTTCCAATATTATAACTGGAAACAATGGTGTACATTATTTGTTTTGCACAACGTGCTACGTTTCTCATAGCGATTAAGAAACATTATGAACAGTTACGTTCATTTTTATTATTTATACATCGAAATTGTGTCTTTCATCAATAATTGGTAAAATTCCGCAGGCTATAAAAACAGTCTGTACATCCAGTGTTTACACTAATATCCTATCGAATGGTACATTCAGGGATAACCATAAAATACGGATGAAATAACAGTATTTTTTGGTCGATACAGCAGTGCTGTTTGTCGCCTCAACCATGTTTTATGGTTGTTCCTGAAGAAACCACAGCTTTCATTTTTCTGGGTGCACCTGTAACATGTGAACGAGTTCATACTTATTACAGAGAATTAGATGCAATATTGAGTGGTAATAAAATGCATATGCACGATCGTGTATAGTTGAGCATGCACGGGTTCGCGGATTCATACACGCTCTTAAAATCAAACTGCAGTGCAAGACGTCAGTTTTAACGACAGTGATAAAGAGTTCTGCACATCAAACTAGTTTTCTGGCCACGAGCGTACTTGAAATTTCTGAGCAAACCACAGAACTCTTTGGCTAAAAATTCCCTTTCTAACAATAGGGTGCGTTTTAAACTGCAACAGGTATGCTTGCATTTCTTACCGCTTACCCGATGTAATACAAATCCCAAACCCATCACATGAAGCCTCGTTTAAAAGATAATTTGAAGACGAAGAAGATGGTGTTCCCAGAACACATTATATTTTCGTTCATCATGGCCAGGAAATTGCGCACTGGTAAAACAAATGTAGAAAGTTGCACACCAAATGATGTGCAGTTAAAAGAGTGCGAAGACTGAACACTTTATGATGTCGAATTGAACTAGACGTCAATTGGTGTGCGAACATAAGACACACTGATAAACCAAGTGTTCAACTGCTCAACACTTGTAAGTGTGCAACCGCAAGTTCAATACTTGCAAGTGTTCAACTCGATATTTGTGCACTTGTAAGTGTGCATCTCCTCTGTTCAACACTTCCCTCACAGTAAGCGCCCGACCTAGACAAGTGTACAACAGGAGAGTTGAACACTTAAAAATGCGCAAATACCGAGTTTTACACTTGCAACTGTACTACTACTGAATTGAACACTTGCAAGTATTGAACTTGTGGTTGCACACTTACAAGTGTTGAGCAGTTGAACACTTGGTTTATCAGTGCATTTCGTGAAGGTTTCGAGAAATGAAGTTTAATGTTTGCACACCACAAAGCGTGCAATTCAGTTAATCTCTATGTAATGTGCAAAATCATGAGTTGCACACTTAGCTGTGCAATACTTGCACACTTATTTTACTAGCAGGGT